TCTTATCCGAAAGGAATTTGGGAATTTCGACTATACCGTTGCGTAGAGCACGGCGAGATAAGTCCGTAGAGACGTAGTGGGCTTAAATCGGAGCTGTAACGAAGAAGTTACGGGCAAAACATCACCAGTGGCAAAATCGTAAATATTTTGAAATGGGTTTTTGGTTAAAAGACAGAAAAGCCCTCAGCTCTCTCTCTCTCTCTCTCTCTCTCTCTCTCTCTCTCTCTCTCTCTCTCTCCCTCCCGCGCGTCCCTCTCTCTCTCCTCTGGTTCGCGACCGCCACCACAGCCGGCCATGTTTTGGCCGGCCGTTCGCTCATCCGGCCACCAAACTCGACGGGGCCGATACCAAAATGACCAAGCCACCAAACTCGCCGGAAAACGAGGAGAAAAGCTCTGGTTTTGACAGAAACTTCGCTGGCTTCGTTCTCCGTCGTCCGGCCACCGATTCCGGCAAGTGAGGTATGGTTTCTCACCTATTTTCCGAGCTCTAGCTGCCTGTTAGGTAGGAATTGATCAATTTGTAGCGTAGGCAACTCGATTTACGAATTGGATTTCGGCTGGATTTCGAGGGGAGATTCCGGCCACTTCCGGTCAGTTTTTGGGGTATGTCCAATAACAAAAGTGGCTCCAAATAGGGTGTTTTACTTAGGGTAGGAGTCTTGAGCCGTGATTTTGGGTTTTTCCAACGATGGGTTATCGCTTTGGACACCCATGCGCTGCCGGAACGTGTGAACGCGCAGGGGCACTGTAGAAAAAGGGCTTTGGGTCCCGATGCGATCTCTTGGTTTTCATGAGCGCGTGGGTTCTTTCGGATTCCAATTCGGTTGACGTTTGAACCCCGAACGGATTACGCATATTGCGTATTTTCCGGGTTTGCTAGGTTTGGACCGTTGGATGGTCCTGAAGTTATAATATGTTGATCTAGGGATTACCAGGATCGTGTAGGATTCGACGGATAGTAAAACGGAGTCCCGGAAATGCCAACCCTAGGGTTAGGGTTTTAGTAACCGTCCGATCATGCGATCGGGAGCGATCCGACCGTTCGATCTGGACCAAACTTACAGGACGAGTGTCCTATACCAGGTAGCATTCATAGAAACTGTCGGATTGAAATTTGGAGGTCGTGGGCCCCGCGGGCCCGTTTGACCAAGGGTGGGTAGTTTGACCCCGGGATTGACCGTGAGACTTCCTAGGTAGTGTTACCTTCCTAGGAAGATTAAAAATGACCGTAGTGGCGGGTCTTGATTGTATGTTGGTTATGTGGGATTAGAATATTAATTCATTGATTTAAATTCGGGGATTATCGAATGCTATATTGGGGTTGAGGTGTATACAATATTAGAAATTTATATATATTTATGTGTTTATTTAAAGGTATAAAAAAGTATAGAATATCAGTTTGGAGTGTTATACGCACTATCCTATATACCTCCCCAGCATGTTGACAGACCCCATACGAGGTCGGGTGCGTCCCGTCGTATGGGGGGGTGATATTGTTATTGTGTTGAGGTCGCACGTGTCGTAGGAGTATCCGACATGTTGACAGACCCCATACAAGGCCGGGTGCGTCCCGTCGTATGATGAGAGATTGTGTTGAGGTCGCACGTGTCGTAGGAGTAGCCGGTGTGTTGACAGACCCCATACGAGGCTGGGTGCCTCCCGTCGTATGAGGGGAGATTGTGTTGAGGTCGCACGTGTCGTAGGAGTAGCCGGCGTGTTGACAGACCCCATACGTGGCCGGGTGCGTCCCGTCGTATGAGGGGATTATGTGATATGTTGATGAGTTCCCACGTGTCGTAGGTTTATCCGGCGTGCGGATAGGCCCCATACGTGACTTTGGATGTTCCGGCGTATGGGGAGATGTTGTGAGTATTGTTGAGTTGTAATTCAGAGGAAAAAGGGGTTTTAGGGAAAGAACTACGTGTGGCTTGATCCCTCAGAAAGGGTACGTAGGCAGCCTGAAGTTACTAGGTGCAGCCGCGGGTCAAACCTCACTTAGGTTGTGTTGTGAGGCCAGTTCTGGAACTTGGTTGAATTGAGGCTTGTCTTGTGGACTAAGTGAGTGAAGGTGTGCATAAATAAATTTTGAATTTGTTATATGCATGTTTGATGCATTAAGTTATTTTAAAAACATTGTGGGCAGTTCTGCTAGAATCATTTGAAGGCCGGAGGCCATTTATGTAAATTGCATAAGATTATATTGTGCGTGCTGCCGGTTGGGTTATAAAATGTGTTTTATGCAGGTGGAAATTATGGGGAAATGTTCAATTTACAGGGGAGACTCTGCCGAAATCTCGGCAGAAAATCTCGTGTCCTTAATCCTCTTTGGTAAAAGAGGACATAGTTTTAAGGAGTGAACCCGGTGTGGGTGTGATGCCGGGGTCTCCGCAGGATTCGTCTCGGGTTTCGGGAAATTCGGGGCGGGTCCTGTCAAAAGCACTCTGAAAGAGTTTAAGACTTAAGGAGTGATTTAGTTATCTTTAGTGGCTTCTTGCAAGTTTTGATGTACAACAGGTACTGGAATGATTGTGCTTGATTTTGTTGTGTTTGAAGTGCTTTTATTGAAGTGAAATATGTGATGCAGGTAGTGGAATTAATAGCGTTGGAGAATATGCTAGAGGGAGGTGGTCTCTGGTGAAGAGTAGCTACGTTGATACTGTACGCTTGGCATGAGAGCTTGCTTCAATGAATCAATATGAAGCTTGGCTTGAAAGGCTTATGGTGTGAGAGCAAGTCTCCATAAGTTTAGTAAGAGAGAGTCCTTTTGCTGCTTGGATTGGAATAAGATGTTGGAGGTGAGATGCAAGTGGTGTTTTCTGGAGTTGGGATGGTTTGGGATGATTTTCCGTGTGATGTTCACGACTTGCAGTGGTGTTATGAAAGAAGAGAATCGTGATAGAGGAAGGCTTGGGCTTTGTGTGTTTACGGCAGTAGGAGGATGAGCTTGCCTTCTGCCGTTCTTCTTCTGGTTTCGGTGTGTGTATTGCAAGGAGGGATGAAGGTCTATTTATAGGCTGAAGAATGATTGTGTATGGATCCGTGAGTGTACAGTGCTCAACAATTGGTTTCTCCATGAGTGTGCAGTAATTACTATGTGCGTAGTAATGAAAGTGGGTTTGAGTTTTGGAGGAGGCTAAGAGTTCCCTATCTGCTTACTCGTGTAATTAGGCTCAAGAAAGTGGTATGAATTTTGGTACTCCCAAGCAGCTGTAAAACTTCCACTATCTGATCCTTCAACGAGCTTTATGAACACTTGTAACCATCCACATCACAATCCGCTTAGCAAGCCCCAAACATATATGTGGCTTGGGTCCACTTAAGCTTGTCGGGTGGTTTAGCATAGAATAATATATTATTTGCTTGGCATGGCATGTACACTATTTCTATATTTATTTAATGAATTAATTCCCAAAATATAGCTTGGATTAATGCACGACCAACATTATATGTTACATTGGACTTTAAATAACCTTGAGCTTCTCGTGACATAATTTGGGCCTCAACAGTAATCTATATAGAATTCTTGTTGGACATAGACTCTTATCTTCTTTTTAGCTTTTAATTATTGTTTATTTAATAAACGTATTTGTGTTATAAATCCATACGTTATGGGTTTATAGGTTATGGATGCCCACAATAATAGCTACTATTAACCTATCGTAATACTCATCATTATATATTTGTCACCTACCAATTATTGATGGTAAATGATTTAGGCCTCTCTACCCCTATAAATAGTGGCACCAAATATGAATGGAATACAAGTTGATTTGAGCAAATTATAATGTCTTTTTCTTCCTCTTATTTCTCCCTACAAATTCCTAGTTTCACAACATGTTATCAGTACGAAAGCTCTTGGTAATGTTCTTCTCTATAGCTTACGTTCATCCATATATATTATTTCTTTATCTACAAACTCGATGACGGCTGATTTTTTTGAAATCATGTTTTTGACATGATTTAAATTGCCGAGAGTATCACCTAAATTAAAGTCTGTATGCTTATGGGTCCACCAATGAATGCACAATTCATTAAATTTGGTGCACAATTCGTTGTCCAAACGGTGATCACACAAAACAAATGAGTCATACATGAACTCCATTAATATTAGGAAAAAGTTTGGCTCCACAAAACTGAGGAGCAATTCATCCTCAAAACAAATAGAGTTTTGACACTTGGAAAATTCCTTTAATTTTTTTCATTTGAATTCTTTAACCTCTTTTCTTTAATTTTTTTTTTTGAAGTTTAATTAGTGCCAAAATCTCATTTGTTGTGAGGATGTGCTCTCCCTCAATTTTAAGGAGACAAGCCATACTAAACATTTTTTACATAATATGCATTGAGCAAGTTCCATCATATTTTATCACATAATAAGAGAACACATTCCAATGCGTACATTACAATGCGTATATTACAGAGAACACGAGAACAAGCTTAAGACGAGTCTATGATTGAGAGTTCATATAGATTACTCAACCAAACAACTTTATTTCGTACTACTACCCTTACAACACACCTGCAACGTAAGTCACAGAAACTAACATGTTATCTAATTCTCGATTTCCGTCTCAGCAGCACCAGGTCCCCCTTTGCCGTGGTGGCCGTGGCCATACCCTCCACGTCCTTTGCCATAACCTCCACGTCCTTTGCCATAACCTCCATGTCCGTGGCCATACCCTCCATGTCCGTGGCCATCACCGTTGACTGTACTCTCCTCTGACACTGAGAGAACAAACAAAAACTTCATATATAAAGCAAAAACAATACACATAACTAATAACAATCATAGATCGGTTTGTATTTAATAAGGTGCAAATTAAGCCATGCAAGTGCAACAACCACTAACCCTACATGCAGAAAAATAGTTCGAAGCATAATCATTTTCACGACCAGTGCACCTTAATTAAAATGTGCATAAATTCACAAATCGTTACTGGAAAGAAAGATACAATTACTAATTTAATATTTATGATTTAGTTAAGAAAGTGAGAAACTCACGAGTTGGAGTAGCTAAGACCTCAGAGGAGATGAGGAGAACAGCAAAGACAAGACCAAGAAGAAGAAAAGCCTTTGAGGATGCCATGTTTTGCTTAACAACAAGCACGATAATGTATCTATGAAAATATGCAAGAGATGATTGCTGAGTGAGTATAATATGGCTTGGTTCTCCCTATTTATAGACCTTTCTGAGATGTCAGTGGGGTTGGAATAAAGATAAGGAGAGAGAAGAATTTGTGACTCTTGTGGTGATTAAAGGCTAAAGAGCGCCAAATTCAACCCCTACTTTGATGGTGATGGGACTACGTATTAAGTAAGCTTTTATTAGAGGCGGGACGGCAAAAGCTAGCTAAGTTGTGTTGTGTGATCAAGTCAAAAGAAGTTGTTTTATGTGTGATTAATTGGGTGGGATACTTTCAAGGTATGTGGCAAAAGGGCTGAAACTTAAGCTGCTGATTCATCATTCAGGTCACAATCTTGTAGAGTGATCACGAGAGTTATTTAATTGTCAGTTTTCATTCCTAATTTAGCATTTTTAGATTTTCACAAAAGGTGTGGTGTGTATACATCTACTGTTAGAAGGAGACTGATATAGCTTTAGTTGAGGGATTTCTCAAATAAGTTTATTTGAAGGACACCCTTATAACACTCACCATGCATTTCAATAATCCGATACCGTCTAGTTTTTAGATATTTCTTCAAATATCATCTCTGCGACAATCACTTGGATCCAAAACCATTTGATCATTCAATTAGATAGTTGTTATTATAGTTTTTTCTTGAAATACCGTGTTTGTCTATTTTGTTGATTTCATCCTACCGCAAAATTCTTATGAAAAGTAAATGGAATTACAAAATAGAAAATGAGATTAAATATAAACACAAATGTATCCGTAGGTTTTCTTTGTGAGTCATAGAATCCCTATATCATGTATAAATATGTTCAGATTAAAGATTTATTTTGTATTGGATTTACCTAATTATATAGTAAAAGGACATTTAATTTACACTAATTGTATTGGATTTACCTTAAGCATCAAACTATTAGTCAAGCAATAATGGACAGGCAGTAGGACCTATATACTGCTTCCTTCTGGTCCACAGTTATTAAAGTTTTGGTAGCCTCTGTGGTACGTTGTTTCTTGTACAAGATTACATGAATGTGACCAACGCAGAAGGGTAGAAGATGTAGCTAAAGCACACCATGAAGTAAAGTCGTTCACACTCTCATTGTTGACAATCCAGCCCTCGCATGTCCACAAACTCTGATGATTTGTGCTGTTTCAAAGTATTTTACCTGACAATAGATATGCAAATCGGGACCACCAACCAACACTCATTAATAAGATTGGCAAGGTCAAAGAATAAACACAAGTTCCATACCTACCCGCGTAAACCATTATATTTGCCTTTGGGTTCTTATTAGCCCTTCGATTAATGAAAATGTTTAAGTTCAATAATTTCTTTATATTATTAGACGGCTGGATTGAACCCTTTAATACACCTCGTGAAGCTCAACGCAGACCCCTCGTTGTCGAAGGTCCATTCAGGTTGGGCTTCCCAACAAACTTTGGACCATGGGCCTCATCAATAAAAACTAAACGTTAAAAAGCCCATTTGAAATTGAGTTTTGCACTTTTTGGCCCAAAAGTATATTGGGTTAAATCTTGGGTCCGAGTTTGTTTTCTTTTGAATTAACAAAAAAGCCTCTATCCTTCGGATGGACCCACGACCCTGCTTTCCAAAATCGAGTGTAAGATCCCCAAATATTTTTCGTTTCTTTTAATTTCTTTTCCCACACTTTCTCGGCAGCCAAACAGACCGGTAGGGTTTCCATTTCTTTGTTTCATTCTGAATTATTTGCCCTTTATTTTTTCTGATCTAGCTAAATTAAATTATTCAAAATTTCAAATCCTAAATCGCATTCAATTTCCTTTTTGTTTCTCTTTTCTATTATAGAAATTGAACTTTTCTGGTTGTGTGCATCGAGATCGAAGAGAAATCCAACATGGGGTTTTTGGTAACGACCTTAATTTTCCTTGTGATTGGGATCATTGCTTCTCTGTGTACCAGAATTTGCTGCAACCGAGGACCTTCTACTAATTTGTACGTTTCCGCATTATCCAATTTCACTGTTTTCTTTCTCATTTCTTCTTTCATTGTTTTTGGTTGTAGCTCTTAAATATGTTGGGTCTTTTTCTTTATGTACAATATGTGTTTAGCTGCTGAATTTGTTAATTTTAAGATCACACTAGTCTTACAATTTAAGAAATATTTGGTATTGGGGGAGCTTAGGATTTGATTCATGTCAGTGTGCTTAGATGTTGTTCAATCATACATATGATTAGGGATTTCGCTATTGAATTAGTTGCAGTATTAGGGGACGCGTTTATGCTTTGTTACAAGTTAATTGGTTGAATAACTGCTCATTTATGCTTATATATGACTTTGGAGAATTATGCACTTCTTGTAATGTAAAGAGCTTTTTTATACTGGGGAACTTGTGTGAAAACTGGGTGAATTTGGTTAGTTGGTTCGTTTGCTCTATCTTACAATTAAATGGTTTATCTGTGTGTACTAAGACTTTTGATTGTAGATTCCGACCCATTCATGTGTAGATGTAACTCGAAACCTTCATTCCACCTGGGGCCATCTATAAGCCATTGGCACGGGGCCTTTCAAGGCCCTTGGCCTCGGATTGTTCAATTCTTAGTTCTTTGTTAAGACATTTTGTTTTGTTGAATATGATTGAATTTATAAAAATGCGTAGTCTTATTTTGTTTTGTAAAAATAAAAAATTCAGCTTAATATATTTGCTTTCACAGTTTCTAGTTGATCTTGTATGTTATGTCTGCTTACGAATATGATAATTCAGAATATCAGTTTTTGAAAGTTTATTGTACAGCGTCTAAGAGTGGTTTGAGAAAATATGTGGTTTGATTTGGTTATTTTGTCTTGAACGTATTGATACTTTTCTCCTTGTTAATACTTCTTTTAGCTTCCTTATTTATCTAAACTCATGCTTTTCTTGTGCAAAATACTGACCTTTATATTTTTATTCAGGTTCCATCTAACATTGGTTATTACAGCAACAATCTGCTGCTGGATGATGTAAGTTCTTGTGCAAGATGTATATCGTATCACTTTTTTCTTTCATCGGTATTAAGAAGGTTTTTCATTAATCAATAGGTAGTGGAACATAAATTTGTGCCAAACGTCCTATATAAATTTGTAGTTGTGCATCTTTGGACTGCATTTTTGCTGTTTGCATCTACGCTGTGCTTTGCGTATGGCCCGAAACAAGCAGTTATCCTCAATATTGGATTATTTCCATTTTGTTCTCACCCTTAATATTTAACGAAGCCTTTGCATATATTGGAAAAACAATGTGTATGTTATATGCTTCACATTGAAAATCCTCCTCCTCGGAGGCCTATAGAGCTTAGCCCATATAGTCATTTGACTCATTGCAACAGCCAATCCACCCCCAGCAGTGACATTGTGTCACATCATGGTGGAGGACTTGTTCCAAGTTCCAAGGGGTAGAGAAAGGGAAAAACTGAATCTTCTTGTTTCAAGTGACATGAAATAAAAAAACCCCATGCCTTCCTTGATTCGTTAGACTGCATGAATGTGGTGGCGGCAGTTATGTTGTTACAGTGATAGCTTAGAAAGAGTTTGTCATTGTGCTTGATAGTGCTATTGCCTATGAGGTTAACTTTCTTTCTTTCCTCTCCTGCCTTGATATGAAGATGTAAAGACTCAATCGTTGCCTGTTGAGTTTATGTATTTTCTTATTTTGTTTAATCTGTTACTATGTGGTATTGATGAGTGTTTTTAATCATTATTAATCTTTGATACAATTTCTTAGTGTAATGTCCTTTTCTTTTCACCCTTAATCTTCCTGACATCATCTTATTCTTTGGCGTTGTTAGGTGGGCAATTGTATATCTTGCACAAATGAAACCACTCATAGTCCCTATTCTAAATGAAGGAGAGTGAAGTTCTGTTTCGAAAAGCATAGATTGCCATATTGGTTACGTGCCAATCGGATTATGGATTATCTTCAGAGAACAGCAAGTTTTAGTCCAATTGATTGTTTAGCATCTTCTGGTGTTGGATTTGTATGTAAATGTTGGAGTGTCAACTTTGAATTTGTTTGGCATTGTTGCTCTACATCACCTGCTATTAAATGTTATATGTACCCTCATTCATTTAGAATTCACTGTTAGACAGTAAGAAAAGTATAAATGTGATTGGAATGGAATAAGTTATAGAGATCGAATGAGCTGACAAGTTTGATGTACTCGTGTTGCCAACTTTAGCCTATGAATGATGCTTTAGGCTTCTATTATTTTTTTCCTACCCTCACTTGATTGTCATCTTAGATTTTCGAGTTACCATATGACCAAAAAGAATCCAAATTCCCAATAACCAAAAACCTCTTAATTTATTCCTACATGGTTTTCAATGATCTCAATTTCATACCCAACACATAATTTGAAGATCCTTTTAAAAGAAAACAACAATTATTTCATAAAATCCACATATTCGAAATCGAGTAATGCCATATTACCAAAACTGAAGTGAAAAAATCCAAATTATGGGCGGAATTGAGGAAACTGTTTTTTTATAACTCTAGTATTGTTGTTTGAGTTCAGCTTTGCTGTGAAGGTTAGATAAGTATGTTTTGGATGTGATTGTGTTGGCATGGGATTGTAAAGTGAAAATTGAGTTTTGTTTAAAAGATAGGTAGATGATAGTTCCACTCTCAATTTGTCATTCTATAATTCAAAAGTAATCGTTTTATTATATTTTTAAAGCACTCAAAGGGAGAGGAAAAAAAAAGTAGAAGGAGAAAATGAAAGATGAATTTTGAAAAATAAATAAAATTTGGCAAAAGAATTAGAGATAAAAGTGTTTTTGGTGAAACAAATTGTGAAGTTGTTAGCTTCTTTTACTTTTTTGTTTGTTTTATGCATAAAGTGACCTTGAAATAACTCTGGAAACGAAAACTATGCATTTCTAATTTTTGTAAAACCCTAAAAACCCAAAACCCATTTGTAATTCCTTGACTGAGAGAACCAAACACGAAAACGATGGCTACATGGACAAACCCAAACGAGCTAATCTCAACGACGTCGTCGACAATTCCCACAGCATTTCACCACCATAAGGCAGTGCCCTCCTTCAGGACATGCATTCCTCTGAGTCGCAAAAGAAGTGCACTGAAACGGCGATGTTTTGGTGTTGTGAGCTGTTCATTTGCACCCATGGAATCGGCCAAGATTAAGGTGGTTGGGGTTGGTGGCGGTGGCAACAATGCCGTTAATCGCATGATTGGCAGCGGTTTACATGTGGGTTTTCCTTTTACTTTTTCTGGGTCTTTGCTCGAAGTTTGAACTTTTCTCTCTCTGTAACAGGAAAATAGGGTATTTTGTTCGAAGCCCATTTCTTAATGTGCATAAATTTTTCTGTTTATGTATCTCAGTTTGTACATTGTTTGTATTTTAAACATGTATCTCTTCTTGGGTTTTTGCAATGTGTTATAATTGCCTTACTGTACAAATCCACTTCTGTTTCATAGTTGTTAAAGAACTTTGATTTTTCTTTTTCTTTTTCTTATTTGTTGCTGGTACGGGATTGGCTTGATTGAGTAACCAACTTTAGCATGGCATGGTAATTTAGGCCTAAAAAGGAATTTTCTGGAAGTAGCGTTAGCAATGCTTTGAAGATTACTTGCAATGATTTGATTACTGATGGTATGTTGCTTATTTTGACATTAGGGTGTTGATTTCTATGCCATAAACACGGATGCCCAAGCACTATTACAGTCCGCTGCCGAGTACCCACTTCAAATTGGAGAGCTTTTGACTCGTGGACTAGGTCGGGCACTCTTCTTTCGATATAAGAAATCTCCATAATTTATGTGGGCGTGTACATATGTATGTCAATCCATGATGTATGTATGAATATAGTATAGTAATGTAGCACCACATTTTATATTTGCACCTACATCTGGTGTTGTTTGCAGTATCACGGATCTGAATTTGTTGTATACTCTATGAGGTTCTTTGATTTCAATCATTTGATAGAGATGCAGGTACCGGTGGGAATCCACTTTTGGGGGAGCAGGCAGCTGAGGAATCAAAAGAGGCCATTTCAAATGCTCTGAAGGGCTCAGATCTTGTGTTTATAACAGCTGGTATGGGTGGAGGCACAGGGTCTGGTGCTGCCCCTGTTGTTGCACAGATATCCAAAGAGGCAGGCTATTTGACTGTTGGTGTGGTTACCTATCCTTTCAGCTTTGAAGGGCGTAAAAGATCCTTGCAGGCAGGTGTCAATTTGGTCCTTATTTTTATATCTTATGTTGGCAACTTCATAAGTGCATACGAGGGATCTCTATTAGACTATTAGTAAATACTTGATGCACTTTTCTTGAATTGTATAAAATCAAATGTTTCCTTTGCTAATATGCTTAGATAGTTGATTTATATTATGAGTTTATTGCCTCACTACTTGGCATACACATCTTCTTAGCCTGTTGTTATGTTGTTTTGAATGTTGTATTCTTTAAAATCTCTCTATGAGACTTTCATTTACATTAGTTAAATAATTATTCAGGGGGTAGCAGAATCAAAAGATCTTCATGTCATCTTGACCAATTTAAAAATCCATGGAAGTTGATGTGACCCTAGTTCTTCTTTAATGGTGCTTTTGAGCCTTAGGCCGAACTACGATAGTATCCTACTTCCCTGTATCTAAATCATAACTGAAAGCTTTTACATGATCTAAAGTTTAGTAAACTCTATTCAGTTATTGATTGTTTTTTCCATCCATTATGAGCATTGAGGAGAATTCTTATATGCATTCATTGGCGTCAGGATGGTGTGTTTGCAGGCTCCAAATTTTGACATAAAACCAATATTTCCATTTATCATTGACATGCATATAGATAAGATTATCTGTTTACCAGTATTATGGATTGGAGAGAATTATAAACTTTTAAATGTTTGGCATTATCTAAATCATAGTGCCACTTTCTTTGTCATCCAAATTTTTAAAAATTGTTGTCTTGTTTTTGCTTCTGTCAGGCATTCGAGGCCATTGACAAGTTGCAGAAGAATGTTGACACTCTTATAGTGATACCCAATGATCGCCTTCTTGATATTGCTGATGAGCAGACACCCCTTCAGGATGCTTTCCTTCTTGCTGATGATGTTTTACGTCAGGGAGTGCAAGGAATTTCCGACATAATCACGGTGAGTACTTTTTTGAGATACTGAAACATATCAGAAGTTCTAATTTATTGACAACTAAATTCAATTAAGCATAGCCTTGCCCTATTAATAGTTATATTATAATTGGTTAAATACATGATGATTTGTGAATAAGAAAGGAGTGAGATGCTGAAACTATTCCAATTATTTTAGAATAGCTTTATTTGCCTACTTTTGGATTTGAATCATACAGTCACCATATTCTGATAAATTAAAGTGTTGCTCCTTTTATTGCAGATACCCGGACTGGTAAATGTGGATTTTGCAGATGTAAAGGCAGTTATGAAAAACTCAGGAACTGCAATGCTTGGAGTAGGGGTTTCCTCCAGCAAAAACCGTGCAGAAGAAGCAGCTGAACAGGCGACTTTGGCTCCTTTGATTGGATCTTCAATTCAATCAGCTACTGGCGTAGTGTATAATATCACTGGAGGAAAGGACATAACCCTGCAGGAAGTCAACAGAGTGTCTCAGGTAGTGTTTTATGAATAATTTAATCTCGAAAGCCCTTATAATTTTCTGTTTATTTAAAAATGTAACAATAGCGTTCAATTTATTGAGAATTGCATGTTCTTATATAGATGCTCCTTTCCTCTAAAAGTTTCGTGTATTTATGCACCTGTCATCAGTGTATGTGATATAAAATGTCAGTCTTTCCTCCCAAATCTTAAGAGAAAAGGCAATAAATTCAATATGCTCCTCAATTAGTTTTGCAAATCGTCCTACTTCAGTGTTTTTATTTTTAAAAATGAGGGGAAGTTGTAAATTTTTGCTCATGGTTGGTGCTGGTGACAGTTTTTTATTTTTCCCTTTCCAATTTAATGAAGTTTGCATATTAATGTAAATTTTCAGGTTGTGACGAGTTTGGCAGATCCTGCTGCTAACATAATATTTGGAGCTGTTGTGGATGACCGCTACAATGGAGAGATCCATGTGACTATTATTGCAACAGGCTTTTCACAGTCGTTTCAGAAGACACTGCTAACAGACCCCAAGGCAGCAAAGCTGTTGGACAAAGTAGCAGGGGGTCAAGAAAGCAGGGGAATTCCCCTTCCTCTGAAGTCTTCAACCTCGCCACCCAGCAGTTCATCAAAGCCATCCCCCAGAAAGCTTTTCTTTTAATTCAGTTTGATGTTTTTTAGTCTCTTGCGCATTTTGCTTTGTAATGATATTGAAGCTCCGATTTATGAAATGTCATTACTTTTTATCCATTTTCCTTGCCAATATTTAGCGCGATTAATAAACCTTTTTAAGAAACGCAACGGGTGACTGTATGGCGACTAAATTATTTTTTTTTATTTTTTTTATTTTTTTATTTTTTGGTGGTTTTGTTTTGGCCAGAAACTGTAAGGCGACTAAATCAGTAGCAACAAGTGTAAGTAAAACCATGATGTTTCAATCCTTTTTCCTCATGAAAATGAGAAGAAAAATGTGTTTTTTTTCCCTTTGAAGTACAAAGAGTGAAACTTATGTCATACTGTCAAGCACATCGATTCAGCATAGAACCTGAATGCTCATAATGCTGGGGTATGGGAACTTCGTGAATCTTAACGTTATGATTGTGGTATGCAAATGGCCATTAGCTGTATTTAAATGGTGCCAAAATTCCAAGCAAGGTCTGTAAGTTTAATTTATCTAATCGTTAGGGCCTGAGATACAAGTACAGCCACTGGAACCTACAGATTACTTCCGATGTAAAAAACAAATAGCTTTGGTATGGACACATCTTTAACCCACAAGATTTCTTTTTCCTTCCACAAAAGGATCAGAGCAGTAAAACAAATGATTTACACGTTCTTGAGAACAATAACTACCACTGACCACAAATTAATCACAGGAAAAGAGACAACTCTGATTTGGGCATAAAGGTGAACACACTTTCACCAAAATATTCAGACAGTGATGCCAGTAAAGGTCCTGCATCCGTCTCCTCTTTCCACGCCTGAGCAAGAACTGTAGAACCCTTTACCATTTGACCACTGACCTCCCTTCCTGACATGTGTTCCTTTGGTAACTGGTGGGATATGGATGGTAAACCAACATTTAAACCCCCACCAGATGAGGAAAATCCACCTACAGCCCCTTGCATGTCAACTTGCATGGAGTTCATTGGCATTGCTCCCCCCGTGCCATCGGAAGCTAATTTTTTGAGTGGTGGTTGCTGCATCAAGTTGTCTGTGCTTGCCTTGCGTTTATCTTGAATGAGAAGAAAGAGGTTAAGCACAAGGATGATATGGGACAAAGTAGATATTCACGTTAAATGAGGTAAATCTCGTCACCATTTTTCAAACCTTGTTCAATAGAGGCTAAAGCTACCATGTGAATCGAAAAACAAATGTGCTGTATATTGTTGCATATGTAAGCAGATTGGTCTTAAAAGGAAACATACAAGTTCAATTATACTCCAGTTGCACATGTTTGACCCATGCAAACGCACAACCAGAGACCAGTATGCATGTGCACAAAGAGAGAGCTTCCAATAACATAAAAGAGGGATTTTAGATTTAAGTATTCAATCAAAGTTACAGGTATAATTTCACCTTTTCCATGTTCCTTGAAAGTTCGAGGCAACAAAGACTAGCAGAACATTAAATCCAACAAACAAAACCCTTCAACAAAGGGGTGGAGCTGAACCATAAGGTTTTTTTTGGGGTGGGGGCCGAAATAAACATATATCAAATACATAAGTTTTCAAGAGTTACATGTTAGAGCTAAATATTTCTAGCTTAGTATGTCTAATTTATTTTAGAGGGGCCATTAACTTAAATTAAAAATTGTCTATTACTAGTTGTATGTATTATATGATGTATCAGAGGAGAGATGAAAAACTGGGGGGGGCCAGTGCCACTGCTTCAACAGGTAATTCATACCATTTTGAAGTTTCTTCTAATCACACCCTATTTCTTGTCAACTCTACAAACACACACAAGCTGCATGCGCATACCTAGGGCAAACAGAAGTAAACTAACACCAAATCTAAAATCCAACACGCTCAACCTACATGCAAACTACAGAAGCATGCAATACAATGATTCGGTCAGAATTACACTTAAAGCAAACATCTGACATCCCCATGTTTATAGGCCATGACGTCATTTTTCAATGAACTTGCCACAAAACACATCAATCCCAATCTTTTTGGTTAGGTATATTTGGCCTCATCATGTGGGTGGCTTACATACTGTATACCATAAGTGCATACATGCATCACCTTTACCTGCCTTCAACCATCTTTGAAAGGAAGACAATTACAAGTCACACTACTGGCTATTAGAAACTCTCTTTTCAATACATCCACAAATACAATCTTGTATCACACAGCAATGTAAAATACACATACAACTCTGAATATATACAATACATATAGGGTTCCCTTTTTTACTTGAAAAAAAAAAGGGGGAGATCCCTTGGGGCCTCACTCTGCATTGTAATTCAATTTTTATCACAATCACTTTAGTGTGTATAAAAAAACACCATCTTTACCAATATTACATGATTGCATTGAGTTGGGCCCAAATTCAATCTCCTTCTCTTATCAGAGAGGAACCCTCTTCTTAAGTTTTTCTGATGTGTGTGTGTCTGTGTGTCTGTGTGTAATGTACACATAACCCTGAATACTGGACGCACATCACCACACTAAAAAACACTGTGTTTACCTATATTACATGATTGCATTGAGTTGGGCCCGAATGCAATCCCTTTCTTCTCTTATCAGAGAGGAACCCTCTTCTTAAGTTTTTCCAGTGTGTGTGTGTGTGTGTGTCTGTGTCTGTGTCTGTGTCTGTGTCTGTGTCTCTGTGTAATGTACACATAACCCTGAGTACTGGACGCACATCACCGCACACACACAGAAGCACTATGAGTGGATCAGCGTATCTTCAGGCATGTAGCATAGCAACTAAACAAGTTAAAGGAAGGCATACTTGTCATTGTTGTTGCAACCCTTCCCTTGCTCTTCCAAATGGCATGAGCTGGAGGAGACAACAAACTGTGGAACATCTTGAGCCGATCATGCATGCATTGGCCAGCCGCTTTCTGGAAGTGGCTTTGTTAGCTCCATGTGATGTCAATTTAAAAGCAAAACCTATAAACATAAAAACAAAATCCAGATTTGAAATATGAACTCACCAGCAAGGCCCCATAGACATGCCAAGCTTCATGCCTCTTTATTTCATTCTTTTGCTTCTCTAGTATCATTTCTGGTTCAAGAAGTTGCATATATGAATCGAGATTTGGTAGTATAAGTAGACGAACCTGCTCAAAGTTGAGAAGCATGGCAATCAGATCAAACAAAAAAAAAAAGGATGTTCCCACTAGGTTAAGCAGAAAAACACACAGAGACAACGAAGGCAGCCACAACTAAAACTAGACGCAAATGTGCTAAGAAACTATGTCCAACACCAAGACTGCAGCCTTATTAGAAAATCCATGTAATATAAAAGCATGCAGGAGAGCATACCACACTAGGACCAAGGGCTGCTAGCCCTTGAATTGCACCATAATGCTGAGGTAATGTTTTTGTTGGGTCCAAGAAAGCATGAAGCAGAGTCCTTGTCAAACGTGGTTGAAGATTGTGATAAACATGCCCAAATCTGCAAAAATACAATGCTAATAAAAAGATAGAAGTATCTCGATGTAATGCATAAATTTTATAATGCTCAGTATCTCATTGTTTTTAAAGAGTCTTGACATCTCCGCATGTTGCCAAATCACTTAGCAAACTAAATTACCAAAGGTAATTGGTCACGGTGTCAGACAAAGCTTTACTAGAATGATAAATTCCACAGGCCAAGTCAGCTAGGTTAGCTGAAACATGGTTCTTGGTCCATGGAAATGGAAGCCCTGACTAAAATGTACACTGCACATGTGTTAGACCATATAATTAGTCACTAATGCCAAATACACATGCCCCCCTTTAGCTCTATATGTGTAATTTTCTGTTACAAGAATGACTTTGAGGCAATATGGACAAGATTTGCCAGGACCCAGTGGACATGATAAACCAAATTGAAATTAATAATAAACTTTTCTTCTTTTTGGTACACATATCTTACTTGATAGTTTTCAAATACATATGTAGCACAACATTGTTATATTTGTTGCACGTGTCTTTGCCTTAAACAAAGAAAGAGGTTTAACAAAATAAAAAAATCTTCACCTTTTGCATATTGAAGAAACCAGGTTTGCGGTAAAGTTTCTAAGTTCCCAGTGATTGTCAGTATATCTATTCCCTAATCTTTTGGCAACAAGGCAGGTAATAACAGATGGCATCAATTGTTGTAGCTGGAACAAATTACAAAATTAGATAGATAAAATCTCACTTGAAATGAAACATGTAAATATCAGATAGACAGAGACTATAAATTCTTCTGAAAGGTTATATAGCTATAAAACCTATGTACTTCAACAGTTGATAGAATTAAATGCTTACATAAGGTTCAATATGTATGTGAGGATTTTGAAGAAGGCTCCGGACAAGGCGCATCAAAGCAAATAGGAGAGGGAAACTATTCAAATTCCGTGTAACCTGAGATGATTGCAGGAAAACATCATGTAAAACGCATAACAAAAAGTAATTAGACCAAGATACCATCAGAAAGACTACCTCATCAGCAACAAAGCATGTGAAGTAAGGAACCAACGCATGTAGTCCTGAATCTGTTGCCAAGCTGACTAATGCTTCTTTGAAGAGGGTGGAACTAGACCTGCGAGTAAGCTCTGTAATCTTCTCAAAGTAAAGCTGCAGAAGCAACCACAGAGAAATTATGGCATTTAATAGTATTTTACACAAGGTGCTTACAGAACATGGAAAATAATATACCTGAAGTTCCCTTGACAGTACATGCTTAACAGGCAATTTAATGTCTACAGGAATTCCATCTTCCTTGTATTCAGATTTTTTCACATCAGAGTACGCTGCCAGTGCTACAAAGCAAAGCATTATGGCAATCCAAATTACTATTGATGGTAAAGTTAAAATTTCAAATAAAATAGGTCATACATAAGAATGCAACACAAAGATTACTGCAAACTGTAAGTAAATTATTAGACAGGGATCATATCATTGTAAATCAGAACTGAACATGATTAAACAGGTTTTATGTAATAGATATGCAAACGATAATTCAATGCATGATGCCTGCCTCAGCACGGTAGGCTGGAATAAGCTAGAATAAGAACTTGGTAAACATCAGATCCCTAGTTTAGCCAAGCAATCTTGCACGTAACTTTAGCAGGATACCTTCAATAGGAGCATTTTCTGGAATTGCAGGTTGAACACCTTCAATTGCCAGCCAGTGAGCAGTAACTGATACACCAAGAGGTGCTCTTGGTAAAGGTGCTTCAATCACCTATAAATATCATGCAAAATATAAAACGTCAGAAGATAACTAATAAATGTAGCACAGAAAACCTTGTTTAAATTCATCAATAAGCTCTTACATCTTTAAATTCCACGTCATTGTCATCGATGTAGAACAAATCCTTATGTCCCGCAGCTCTCTTGAACCTCAAAGGATCTCCAGAGGCAAAGCCATATATCGGCTAAAGCAGGTAGAAGACAAGTAATCTTTTATCTTTTTTTATAGAACACAAAATTAAACAAACAAAATCGGAAAATGAATGAAGGTCAAGCTTTTCAAACTTAGACCTTGTCAGCACAGCATCCACATATGAGACAAACATGGTACACTTATAGGTGCTCAAGGAAGCACCGAAGCACACACCCCTAAAAAAGCAAAAGGGAGCAAAGGTTGACAAAGACATGTGGAGCACTTCTTCTCCACCACTCTACCCATCACGTGAAACCCATCCCACACTACACCAGACTGCGTCACATAATGTCACCCTCAGGAGATTGTCTCAAGATTTCATTCCTTATTAGAGTACTGATTACCTTAATCCTTCTAACATTCCTTTCCCATCTACTTTATATTACAAGTCCCAGGAATCATTTTCTGTTTGCTGCCGTCCAGACTTACTTCCATGAAGATTCCAGAGGGTCTTCCCAAAAAGACTACAAGTTCTAACATGTGTCCTCAGTCGCACAGACATCATAATACTAATCATGCTACAGACTAACAAAATGCATAAACGACAGCTTCCAACAAAGATGCTCAAAGCATTTGACTTAACAGAGTTTAAAAAACACAAACAGAAACAATTAATAAGCTTTTAGAATGAAGGAAAATCAATTTTGCATTTCCAACACAAAGAAAACCATAGAATTAAAGGAGCACCACTAACGCAGTCACATCTGAATAACAACACAGCTTACCTCCACATTTCTTAATTTAAGTGCACTATCCACATCATCTGTAGTCAGAACAGTTCGCCTTGAGTGTCGCATGCATTTAATTGCCTCCTGTGATTTTAAAATTTCAACCATTTATTTCCTTCCTCACAGGCTCTATATAAATGGTAAGCATAGACCACATAATGAGCTCAACCCTAATATTTTCTTCATAATCTATCTTAATGAATAAAACAAGAAGTTGCTGCTGTAGTTGAATCTTACCTTAACTTCAATTTACAACTTTAAAAAAATATATATAATTTTAAAAAAAAAGTTCAGGTGATATTTTACACAATAAGATTTTGGGTTATATTTGGCAATGAAAGATAAGAATTTACACATTAAAACACTGGGGATATGTCTGATTCCTCTATCCAAACCTAGCAAGTAAACTAAAGCAAGTTCTTTCATTTTTGTGACAACTAAAGGTTGAAAACTCCACAGCACTACAAAATGCCAATTATAACTAAATAAAATTTAAGAAAAAGCTTTCTGTAACCGCATTAACCAGGCAAATACCTGCATGATCTCTCGGACACGGTACTCGACATCTGGGGTGAGAGCAAGCGCGACATCGGGGGACAAATTGGAAATGCCAATGCTCTGTGCTACGACCTCTATCGCTTCTTTAGGCACATTGCTCATTTTTATTTTATTTTTGTTTGGTAATTTTTTTGCTTAATTACTTCATAAAGCTCTTGCACCAAAGGCCACCCCACTGGTTCTGCAAAGCAATTATTAAAATAATAAGTAAAACCCTACTTCGTTACCGGAGCTGGGTATGCTATTTTCAAGCAATATATGCATGGAATTGAGATTAGGCACAAAGAAAGTCGCAAAAACTCATCTGGGTTCGGTCAGCTTGATGATTATATATTTATATGTATACCAATATAGGTCTACATATTGCTCAGGCAATTCAAACTGTAAAGAAAGTCAATTTTGAAAAGAAGTACCTGAAAATGGCAAGCCAAATCCGAGTTGGGGTCGACTGTCAATGATGGACGACGAGCTCCGGTGAGGAAGTTACAGGCTTAGAGCCATGGTTGTCAGTTCAAGAAAGAGGTTTACTGGGCTTATATTTATATGCCTAACAGTCCATGAACCCAGTCATTAATTACCGGATTGGACACTAAATGAGAAAACATAAGCCAATTTGGGCTTACAAGGAAAGAATTCTTTTTTATTTGTTCAATTGTAGGAGTAGGAGATTTGGAACAAAAAATAATTAAAAAATAATAAAAGTGATATTTGGGGAGGTAGATTCAAGCACAAGATCTAGAAGTAATTGTTATCAACTACTTGAGCTAGCCCCTTATAATTTACAACCTCTTTAATATTAGGAAGAGAAAAAAATAAATAATTTTAGGAATCGAACTCGGGACGTATGATAGTTACAAGACTAACACAATGGTCATTAAATTTATCACTAATTTGCTCATCATATATACGCACATGTGGATATTTTACTTGCTAGGTGCATAGACAATTGTTGTTAACCACTCCAGTATAAGATCCTTAAGAATATTGACATATCATTTATTACTTAAAACACATAAACGCTAATTAGTATAGGATACTGCATGCCTCTTTCACTGTAAGGATATACTCATCTTTTATGCGAATCACAGTTTGATACATATTCAAAAATAATTCATCAAAAATAAAAACAAAAAATTTATGCACGCATATCACATAACTAGTGGCAGGAATATAGAAATTCATACTTATTGTAACAGTACTTAAAAAGAAGAAAATTTACAACTTAATTCCATTTCTCCTTTAAATTATAGGACTTCGTGACAAGGGAATATTTTCGTCCTCTCAAGTTCTCCGATGTCCCAGCGTGATTTTATCGGTTTGTTTTTATAGAGAGATGAGCTCTGCCTCCATTAATTTATGGAGGGTCAATTGAACGGGAGTGAGAGAAAAATAATACTAATAAAATATCAGATCTCTCCAGTTAACACAATCGTGAAAGGATTTTTTGTCCCATTCCATCAAAAGATGAGAATAGTTTGCAAAATCCTCTTCCAAGCAGCAGAAGCATTGGACTTCTTAGCAATAGAAAAGAAACTGGAATTTTCTCTCTCTCGCACGCTTGTGAAAAATGGGGAGTTAGAAACTTTGAACTTTGGTGGTCTATTTGCTCCGGAACCTCCAACAATTAAAAACAGAAAACTTTGTCAACAAAAGATCGTACTTAAAAGGCGCCAATGAGCCATGCAATTTACAATTATTTTAACAACACACAAATTCACAAACTTACTAAACACCAAAGAAAGCCGCAGGCAACATCACAACCAAGACAGCACTCCACAACAAGACACACAAACAGGAGGTCTTTGTGTTCGGTATAGACTTATAGTTGGTAGTAGATTACAAGTATTTGATCAGCAAAAATATCACGGCAAGCAGAACCACAATCCCGACAACACATAGAAGCATGCACATGCAGGAGCAACCACCCTTTGTGCGCTTGTTCAAAACTGCCAAGTTCTTCTGCACCCGCTGTTTTGACAGTATCAGATAGACAAAATAGTTTGTGATTACTATTTCCCCACAATAAAATATTTTAATTCTTAATAAATGGAAAACAGAAAAATCAAAAAATCCAATTTAACTTCCATGACTGCCCTCGGCATGATACGGTATACCCTACAATGCCTACAACATGCTCCAACAGCTTTGGCATAAAACCTCATATCAATTTGGAATCAGATGCTTTTTTTTTTTTACTGTAACAACACTTATAAACTCAGATCAGATGCCATCCTATTTTAGTTTTAGTTTTTCCTTTTCTAATAAAGCAGAAACCACCCAAAGTAGTTGCAGCACAATATTGAAGTTTAGTTTTGTTGACAAATGAAGTGAATCTTTTACCAGTCACCTAACCATTTTCTTCCTTTTTCCCTTCTTTTGAGTCAACCAATAGAATATGAAATTCAAAGCCCAACATAGCAGCATAAAGAAATGCAACTGGGACTCCCAAACATTCTACAACAAAAGCATGATAAATTGATTTATGTTAACATTTGAGTTTTAAGCTGATAAAACCCAATGATCTTGTGCCTTGAGCACATTTATAGCCTCCTCAATGAAATTTAATGACAAATATCAGTGCTGAAGTCAGTTCAAGTTAACAGCACCTATTTCCAAAAGAGAATATAGGTTTCCAATAAATTAAATTTCTATTGGTAAGATTTAGCCAAAGAGCTATCCAAACCCTCCGCAATCTGTAACGATCTCAGTTGAGACACTTGAGAGTTACATATATAAAAAATGAACCATTGAGCGCCAAGAAGATGAAAAGAAAAATTGATCACTCAAAACCCCTTACTTTTCTTTTCTTCTATTTCCCTAGTGAATAAGCGTATGCATTCTATAATTTTCCCTTCACAATTTGACAACTAAAAAAAGAGGCATATACCAGAGCCATTCCAAACATCTTTAATATATCTTTCTTTCTTTTTTAAATAATTTCTCCATAACATCTATTTTCCTCGTGTCGATCTTACTTTTATTGATAAGTTTTTCCAAAGAAATTCAAGAATGAATTAACTAAGACTGAACGGATCACAATGCATTTAAAACCACACGAAATATCCACCCGGAACACACCTTTTGCTTGTCAGGGTACAGAATAGTGACTTACTAAACAAGGGGACAAGCTATTTTAAAATACATGAGTTAGAACATTACCCGTAGCCGGGAGTCTGTAACTTCCACATGTTCATCCAAATCATCCTATGCCAGAAAGAATATGTAATAGTCAGAAAAGCAAAACTCATTTTAGATAAATAAGTAATTACTATTTACATGGAAGAGCCAAAGACAAAAAGATTTGGATGCAAGAACATACAATAAGTCTAGCGTGTAGGTCAAGTTCCTCATTGACTGCCAATGCAATATGTTTTGTGCTTACTACAGTCTCCTCCAATTTCTCAAGCCCCTCATCTTGCTCTGCTTCAAAGGCATACCATGTTAAGATCAATATAGTGAAATCCAAACCATGTGAAAGAAGATTAAAGAATGTTAAAGGTTAGAACTTTATATTAAGGAACTTGCCTTTCATAACTTGTCGCTGCAGACCAACAAGGCCATAGTTGTCCAGACCAACTGTTCTTCCCATGGCATCAGCTTTATTTATTTCTGGCCCAAGCAAGCTGTCTCGGTTCGCAGTATGTGATGTCAGCGTTGACGACATCTGTAGAACTTTCGATCTTAAAGTTCCGATCATATCCTTCCGACGATTCAGCTCTTTCTCTGATCTGAGTATTACAATAGGCAGCACACAAAATTTCATATGATGATAGCCAGAATCATTTTTGCATTACGAAGGACTATTTTACAATAGCCATGCTCAATCAACAGTTTAAAGAACTTTTATCACAAAAGAGGATCACATGAAAACCAACTTTAAAAACTCATAATATGGGAATAAACCCCTTCACATGACATTGACAAACACATGCAGGAAAAGAAAGAAGAGCTGACAACATTGTTAAGTTCTAGACAAATTTGCTCCAATGGCAGGTTGTTTTATGTAGTAAAACAATTCACCTAAGATGACTTACATGGGCTGTTTTCCAGGGTGTTTTGATAAAAGGGACTGTAAGCTATCAAGTCTAGTCCCTAATATTGTAATCTTCCTCCGTATGGCAGAGACATAACGCTGAGCGTCTGGACCTAATGCAGGCAATGTACTCCGTTCAGATATCATACCATTGATATCATCCGCAAGTTTTGTTGCCTCATTATATTCCTTCATCCATGAGTCCGAAGAAGATGCCATTGAACTGCAATATTTCAGGCATACTAATTCATCAACAACATACTCGAGAATTCTTTATAAACAAATAAACACAACATCTTTACATATACTTGGACCTTGCATAAGATTATAAAAAGGCAATAACAAGAAAAATACAAGACTAAACATATACAGTAGATATAAGAGAAAATGGAAGATTACATCTAGAATAGGATCATACAAAGATATTTCATCATTCTGGTTAGCACAATTTTCTTTCCCAATACCTCCAGTAAACCATCCTATTCTTGACCTTAAGTTAAAATCCCAAGGATTATTTTGGTAAGTGCAGCACAGCACGAGCGGAATATGTTTGGTTGATAAATGCTTAAGAGACAAAATAAACTCAAATCAAAATCAACAGTTCCCTCTGTGATCCTACTGCTAATTTCCAATAAACTTAAACCTACCAATCCCAAAGCAGTGTCTACTAGTTATAAATTCAGCCAAAACTACTTGGTGCATCTTCAGCAAAGCATGCGGTTACACCACCATCTGTATAGCATCTCTGTATAGATAGTCTCATCTTACCAAATCTCAAAAAACTACAATATCCATGAAGCAACCTATACATGAACATACATCATGAACATTGCTACTTTCAGAAAAGTAATATAATTCCACTTTCTCCCAGCAGTTGACCACAAATCTCCAACGCCATATAAAGGACCTCCAGCTTGCACCCACTAGCTCATATAACGCAAAAAAATAAAGGAAACAGGCTATAAAATACATTGCATCAGCTCATTATGAAAACCCTATTCATTCTTTTATTCCCAAATGCGGCGACACCAGCCATAACTAAGCTCTTAATTGGCCGTAAGTTGAGTGGACTACATGCACATTCTTGCACCAATTTTGCTCTATCGAGAGCAACAAAGGTAAAAAAGATTAACAAAGTCAAACGCCGCAAATCAAGCTCTTTTAGTGCTTCAAATCAACAAACCCCAGAATTCAAGCTAAGTAAAACAATTTGAACCAATTCAAATAAATGTTAATTCAAAGCAACTCATACCCAAATTCGGCATGTATAAAATGGAATCAAATGCAAACTTTTAAACAAATTCAGTACTAATTTTAAGAAATAAAAACAAACCTAAACGATCCAAAATAATCCATAATTCGCCAAAAAAGAAGAAGATGGTCGATTGTAAAATCCAATCACGAAATTGATCTCAAACATAAAAAAGACTGGAAAAACAAGATTCCAATACAGATGATCCCAATGTAGTGGGTGAGGAATTACCTAATTTAGGGATTGCGATCGTGGGTCGCGGAGAATGGGATTTGGTGGTGACGAAACGGGGTCGTATAAGGATAGAGATGAGAAGGGAGATGAGGGAGACAGTTTAATTGTTTAAAAATTGATGAATGAAAAGGGGTTTGAGCTGGAACTGGAGGCGACCGCGACCGCGACGACGCCGTACGGCACAACCAACACAGGGAAGTCTTTGTCCGACCCCGACGTATACTTCACACTCGCTTGTATAAACGTTGAGCTGTCCAACTGTCTTTATTTTGTTGGAATACCCGAAGCCTTTATCTCTATCGGGACCGGATCTGCAGTCCCCAAATTACATGATCTCTTGTGTTCCTTATTTAAATGTGTGACACATGTCCATCCACTTAACCCTGAATTAACACCGTTAACTTAATAAAATTTAGAAATAAAAACCAACACCATAGCGGCAGCGGGCAACCACCCCTCGTGACTTCATGCCCCTTCCCTGACCTCCTCCCTCAGCCACAAAATCACCATATACCAGTGAATGAATCCCAGAAACGTGTCAACAAATTATACAGTGTTATTATTGTTTTGTTTAGGGTTTAATTTCTTTTAATTTTTATTTTATTAAAAGTTAATAGTGTTATTATTGGGGTTAAGTGGATAGACACGTGTCAACAAATTATACGAGGAACCCGAAGTGACATGAAAAACAAGGACAGCGGATCCCCTCCCATCTCTATCGGTCTAGAGAGAGAAATAAGGCCTAAACGCATTTTTGGTTTGTCATTTCAATTTTAACAATTTTAGTTATGTAAAAGTATCTTTTCTAGCCTAAAAATTAAAAATTAAGTCTTGTAGTTTCATTTAATTTGTAATTAAGTTCTATAAATCTAATATTAATAACAAAAAGGAAAATGGTAGGCTTCCTACATTTTTATACCTCAATGTATATTCTCTCTAATAGAGGTGGGCCCCATTATATTAGTGGATTCCACTTCTATTAGAAAGGTGGCATATAATGTAGTATAAAAATGTGGTAAGCTTAGCATTACCCAATTGGTAAAATTGAATGACATAGACTAGAGTGTAAAACGAGTCATTCAATTGAATGACATAGGCTAAAGTGTAAAATGAGCCGTGAACATCAGTATTCTTGAAGAAATCATAGTTATGTAAAAGTATCTTTTTTAACCAAAAAATTAAAAATTTAGTCTTGTAGTTTCATTTAATTAGCAATTAAGTTCTATAAATCTAATATTAATAACAAAAAGGAAAATGCTAGGCTTCCCACATTTTTATACCATATTGTATATCCTCTTTAATAAAGGTGGGCCCTATTGTATTGGTGGATTCTACCTCCATTAGAGAGATGGTATATAATGTTGTATAAAAATGTGGTAAGCCTAGCATTGCTCAATTGATAAAATTGAATGACATAGACTAGAGTGTAAAATGAGTCATTCAATTGAATGACATAGGCTAAAGTGTAAAATGAGTCTTGAACATAATTATTCTTGAAGAAATCCTAGTCGTTCTCTCTCACTCTCTCTCTGTCTCTCTTTGAGTTTCAAAGAAAAAACTCAATGGAGGGGGAGGAGGAAGAAGCGTCACAACCCCTCCTTCCCTTTACTATTTTCCTTTCTTTGGGCCTTATGAATAAGAAGCCTCATGTGGTGATTTCTTTTGAGTCATGCTTAGTTCGAAGTTCCCCATCACCTTTTTTGGGCTAATTCTTCAATTGAATCATTCTCTCAAAACCATCTCTCTACAACTTCTCAGCTTCTCTAAATTCAATTCTACCTCCCATCTAATCCCGAAAACCGCAAAAGAGATTCCATCAGAAGGCTGGCCAGCCTGAACAAACATGAGCTTCCATTTTTGCTGCTTGGAGCCATAACTGCAGTAGGGAACATAGTAATTTTCCTTGTCTATGACTTACTACTCCCTAAAGCCATTAATATGTGAGTAAATTGAAACCCCCCCTCTCTTCCCATGAACTAAAAATTCAGCCAATTTAACACACGAATTAATTGAAATTGCCAATTTCACACATTAGGTTAGATTTTAGATAATTTCATCCAATTCTCCATTAATATTAGGGGTATATTTGTATTTTCTTATAAAATAAAAGTTAAATACACATAAAATCAAAATAAATAATAAATAAATAAGGGAGGGAGATTTAGGAAAGGAGATAAGCTTATGCCAGTTCATTTTTCTATTTTCTAAATATTTTAGATAGTAAAAAAAATCAAATAGTAACTCACGTGGCATGTGACTTTTTGGATGAAAAAGTGGATGAAATTTGAAAAATTTAATGGCAGGAATGGACTAAATTGGCTGACGTTTTCGTTCATGGGGTTAAATTCGATTAAGGTTATACTTCAGGGGCAAAACGGGTAAAAATTCTTAATATGTTCTATCAACCGCATGATGAACTACAGAATAACTTGAAAAAGCGTGCAGTAGTGTTTGCATGTATGGGTCGCGTTGGTCTCGTTGTGATTCCAGTGCATAACTTCTTCTTTGGAGTTGAAAGTGGGAAATTTGTAGAGCGCATTCGTTTCTTGACATTCGAGAAGGTTGTACACCAACAAATCAGTTGGTTTGACATTTGACGACCCTGAAAATTCAAGGTGCTTATAAGAACAAATGATTTTTACGAGTCACTTCCTAGCTCATTATAAGGTTGATAGAACATATTAATGGCTTTAAAGAGCTAAATATAGGCAAAAGGACTCCATTCCCTACTGCAGCAATGGCTCCAATCAACAAAACTATAATTTATAAGCATGTGTTCATATATTGGCATGAAAAATTGTGTAAACCATCATTGTCTACAAATTATGTAGTACATGGAACATAATTGATTCTGTAACAAATTTGCATGATTAGTGCTTTCCTCGGCATATAGGATACAAATTGTATTTACTAAATAACGATGAAACAAATTGTTGGAGTTAATTTTAAGTTTTTTGGAAGTAGATTTTTTTTTACATTTGATTAGGGTTGAATATAATGAGTAGGGTGTACTTATTAAAATTACATTTGTTTCACAATTCAATATATCCTTTTTGGTCATTTTATATTAGAATAAATTAATAATTCAATAAATAGTTTGATAATATAGTGTACTTTTCGTTTAGCAGCACTCAATAATTATCAACCCAACAAAGTAAAATTATGGAATAATACATAAAATAAAATTAATAAAACAAAAAAGATAAAAATGGAAAAAGGATAATTCACACTTACGTAGAAATGCTGCAATGCCAGTGCCAATAGCCAAACATACTAATTTAAGTGACACATGTATAAAAAATTATCTACAAAAACAGTTACAAGGAGTAATCCCAAATTCTTTATTATTATTATTATTATTTAAAAACCCAAGTTTCTTCTTTCATGTCTATATAGATGGATCATGATCAGCAAACAACCTCAAAAAAGAAAAAAACCAAGAATCTTGGTTTTCTCTTATACACAAATATTGTTTTTGTTCTTGGGTTGATACAAAACAAATATTAATGCATGTACAAATTAGAAACCATGGGAACGATATGTGACACGAAACGTGTCGAAAAGCTGGCCAAATATGGGTGTTACTGTCATGAGAGGCCATTGCCTATGGCACATAATGACCCAACTATCATGAGAAGGAGATGAGCAAAAAGTTGCGTTCTATAAGCTCTTCTTGTACCATAGACAATGGCCTATCACAGCCTCTCACGACACTAGCATATATTTGGAGATCTCATCCACGTTTGTTGTTATCTAATTAGGAAATGTGAAGGTAGGGTTTTGTGGGAGTAGTATTTATATATATATATTGATATGAAAAACTGATACATTTCCGTACCAACAAGATCAGCAAAGAAACGTGAAGGTCCTAATCAAAAATCTAATTTTCATACTTAGTCAAATTTTGAGAGGACAGTTTTTCAAGTATGATATGTAGTCATCTATATTATTGTTTAAGAGTTATGTAAGGCTAACATAATGCTAACATTACTTTTGTACCTTAAGGTTGTAAAGTGCAAGTGACTGATGAGTGTGTAAGTGCCAATCTAGTTGAGATATGTATATATTTACTTGTGCCAACCTAGATTACTACATATCATACTTGAAAAACTGTTTTCTATCAAAATTTGACCAAGTATGAAAAATGGACTTTTGAAATACTAATGTTTTCAATGATATTCTTGGTGGCTTATATTCCTTACAACTTAAATAATCAAACATGATTTTATGAGATTTTAGTATAAAGTATACATTGACAGATAGGTTTCTTGGATTGAAAGAGAAGAGTAATTTGGCAATATGGTGTATATGTGTCTGTGTTTTTCTAAAACTTAATATAAACAGTGGTGAGGTGTGTATATAGATGTACTAGGGTTAAGTATTAAGTTGGATGCCATTTTTTTTGTCTTTTACACAATAATAAAACTTAAGAGCTTAATGATTTAAGTATTGGGATGAACAAAGAAAAGTGGGGCGGTTTAAATAGAAAAAAAAATCTAAAAAAATAATGTTAGAATTACTAAGGGCTTGTTTGGGGCTTTCTAATAATAAAAAAACGCTTTCTAACAATGTTTGACAGGAAAATTTAGAAGTGCTTTTAGTTTCTAGAGAATCACCTACTATGTGGTTATTTAGGAAGTACTTGGATTGTTTAGAGGACATTCCATAGAAGATTTTCAACCATTAGAAGGAGCTACTCATCTATATACTAAGAGCTCAATTTTTATTAGGGCTTATTCCTACTCTATTTATGTGGCAAGAGGAGAGGAAGTCTGAATAATGATGTTCATTTTGAGCATTTAGCAGCAAATATTGGCTTTGTTTGCATCTTCATATATAAGCCAAGAGGGGGCCATATTGGAAAGGAAGTGCATAGGCAGCAAAGAAATCCCTTTCTGGAAAATTTGTTGTCTCCATGGAAGATGGAAATACATGCATTATTCAAACTACAAAACACGCGGTACTGAGTAATGACCCAAAGAATCATCTTACACAACACACACCTTACCTAAAGAAAGGGCAGGCGATCATAGGAAAGATTTTCCCATGAATATACATTTATTTCATCTCATACAGTCAATCCTCAGGCCTTAAGAGACTCCCCCACTTTAACAAGTTCCTCGAGTGCCTTTGAGATCTGTGGCTCTGTCAAACCTTCCAAACGAACGCCTCTCTCAACACCCATGTCTGTTTAATAATCAAAGGTTATGTCGATGGAGCAATGGAGCAACATTCAAGTTAACAACACAGGACTAAAGAACCAACAAAAGAACTTGCGTAGCTTGAATATATGTTTGAATATATGTACGTTAAATATGAGCAATATCAGGCCATTAAGCATACTGGAACGTATTAAGTACTTGCACCTAATTGTGAACAGAGAATTTGTTTACCATTTATCAAGTACTCATACCCAGAACTATTACATTGCTGTTAATCTAGCTAAACTTCGTTATCCACTCGGGTGAAAGCAGATTCAGGTGTCTCTAATGTTGATTGTTGCAAAGTTTCTCCATACTTGAGTTACAATTTTAAAATGACCTATAAAACTCAGGCCATGCATCCCCATCACATTTGCAATACTTTTCAAAATTGAATCAAAGCCAAAACTTTGGGATTCCTAAGAGCATTTCTTACAAAAGAAAAGCAGAAAAAAGCTTGGCTCCAATATAGAACAATCCTGAAAACCATTTGCTGGAGGTTAGCTGGAACAATCATAGTTGGCCATCCAACAAAGACATTTTCCATTGTCAGAAATCATGCTCCTCTAATTTCCCTAACCTAAGTTTTGCCCACTCTTGATCTCTGGTTGCGTTTTCAACTTAAACAAGATAAATAAATTTGGCACCACCAATCAAAACAGTAACTGAAACGACTATAAGTTCATATGAGTAACAGAGGAGACATCTGTCTTTTTTCTTACATAAATTGTTGCTTGAATAAAGCCTACATCTTTCAAAAGTCAGTTTAGGCATTAACTTATTTTTAAAGTAATCAATCACCATCTTTATTAGACATTTTCAAATAAGGCTTTCAATACACAGTTTCATTCATAGACATGATATGGTGAAGAAAACAAACACATGACAGGTGCATATTCAAGCTCGTTAATAAATCAATTGTCACTAGATCCTAGGTCACGCAAGGAAAGATAAAAACTCATGTTCCCCACTGAACTTAACAAACAATGCTAAATAGTTTTAATCAATTAACTTTATGGAGCAACTCACAAACACTGCTGCATCTCCTTTCCGTCATTTAACAGCTTTCACAACTATAGGTAACATTTTATAATTACTCTCCTAATTGAAAAGGGTATCTTAGATCTAGTTATAAGAAAAGGGTATTATCACAAGTCTAGTGCAAAACCATCTTGAAGTGCACCCAGATTTAGAAATCTCAAATTCCTTTTGTTGATCAGCTCTAAAGAATTGATAGTTAAAGGGCCAGTCTGATAATTCATACCGTTTATGTTGGCTTATAGTTTTTTTAGTTAAAGAGATGGAGGAACTACATATAGGAGAAAGGAGGGAGGAAGAGGAGATATGAGAGATGCAGAGAACAAATGAGGCTAAAACAAACCATATGAAATTGTTTTTGGTTTTTAATTTTAATTTTATTTATCAATCATCACATGTACACTTTCTAATCTATCATCTCTCTTCTCACTAATTTCTCATTCTCTATCTTCCATTACAAATAAAAACCAAACTGAAAATTGCTACCTAACGGGCCCCCTAACATCAGCAGATTCCATCAGTTAAAGGTAAACACGCGTGTGTGTGTGTCCTTGGCATAGCATCTTATCTTATGAACCAACAGAAAGACTGGAAGCGAAATATCACAAAACGAACTTGGTCATATGTACAAAAAAAAATGCAGCATGAGTTGACATCTACCTTAAACCAATCATAATATATCCATGAACTTGAGCATTCTAAATTCTAAAAAAATTGAGAAGTGTAAAAGAAAAAAACCATCAGAAAAAGAAAAGAAAAAGAAGCTAGGGAAGAATGGAAATACCATATCTAGCCCATAACTGAGGCTCAATCCCTCTGCATTCACGAATCAAGATGGGTAATTTGGGGTTCAAACTCTTGAGATCCTTGTAATTCTTCTCCACAAATGTTCTGCACATACAAAGAAAGAAGATTTATCATTTTTATTGATGTTACAAGCAATAAACAAAGAAATTAAGAGAAGTAAAAGGCATGAGAGAATCAAAGGACCTGGTGGTTGCGCTTGAAGGGGAAGATTGGCAGAGTAAAACCCTAAGCTCCTTTAAGTTCTGAGATAGCTTTCCTCTCCATGCCATTTTCTTGGTCTTTTGGGTCTCAGACTCTCTCTCTCTCTCTTCTTTTCGCTTCAGCTCAAGGATGAAGAAGAAGATTCAGGCTCTTTATGCCAAAGGTTATTATTCGATTGGTGACTTTTGGGTCTAACGACTTGTCGTGTGAGTCTGCGACATGTCGTTGGGAGTGTTTGAAATTGGGGTGGGCATTTTTGCAAGAAGAAAATTGAAAACGGGGGAAAAACTGAATAAAGCAAAACCATGGAGAGTTGAGAGAGAGAGCCCGCAGAAAGAGAAAGTGAGAGTGAAAGACAAGGGCCGCGGAGAGAGAGATATTCACAGATTCACAATCTCACTGTTTGAGTTGAGAGAGTGAAAGAGAGAGAGGGGATTGGTGGTGGTGTGGGTGTGAGGAAGGAGAAGTGGGGTAGGTTAGAGAGAGAAAGTAGGGAGGGAGAGAGAGATGTCAGACCTAGACAGGCAAATAGAGCAGCTCAAGAAGTGCGAGCCTCTCAAAGAGTCGGAGGTCAAGGCTCTCTGCCTCAAGGCCATGGAAATCCTCGTCGAAGAGAGCAACGTTCAGAGGGTCGATGCCCCTGTCACTGTATTTCCTCTCTCTCTATCTATCTACTTGCGAACTCTCTGATTTTGCTGGGTAGTCTTCGATGTAATAGTTCATATTTTGTTTTTGGGGTTTGGTTGATTTTTGGGTTATGGATTTGATTTAGCTATGATTTCGATTTTCTATTTGTTTCGGACAAGTGGGTTTGTCTTTATTTGTTAATACTTGTGGAATAGTAATTTTGTGAAGAAAGAGTATTGAAATGGTGTTGGATTCCAGAGAATAGATAAGGTTTTTATAATATTACTTCAATTGGATTTTCTTTTCTTTACTGGGAAAACGATATGGTGAAAGAAATACATGTTGTAGGCTTTAGGAATTGGGAACGAAATACAGTTAACAGTTGTTAACATTTATTTTGCTGTAGGTAATGATAGTTTACATTTCTTGCTTAATGGATTATGGCTGCTTTATACGCTGAACTTGTATGTGTCTTTAGAATAACGAGGAGCCCTATTTTCACTCTGATTCTTGTTCATTACTTTATATTATGAGCTTGTTGGAGGTAGTGGGGTTATAAACAAAATTTAGCAGGGAAATTGGGCTAGTGGAATAATTTTTTGTAGTGAAGATATGGTGCTTTAGAATATGAAGTTCAAATCCTAAATGTTGCGGGTTGCATGCTAACTGGTTATTGTTGTTATTGTATGCTTTGTTACATAGATTTGCGGTGACATCCACGGGCAGTTTTATGACATGAAAGAGCTTTTCAAAGTAGGAGGTGATTGCCCAAAGACTAACTACTTGTTTCTTGGAGATTTTGTTGACAGAGGATTCTATTCCGTTGAGACATTTCTACTCCTACTTGCACTCAAGGTGATAGGCTTATATACTTCTTTACTTTGCTTCATTTGTTGAGCCTTCAGATATGCTCTACTTGCTCTTTAGATCATTAAGAAGATTAATGGTTTTTACCTGCATTTCATTTGATGTTTTAGCCATATTCTTCAGGGGTTCTAGTACAAGTGTTGTTTCTATTGCTTTAAAACGTAACCCTAAATTTAAAGATAGTAGATTGGTGTCTGTTTAAAGATTGTGGACCACCAAATTACATGGAAATTATTTATATTGCACCCTCTGCCTAGGAAACCAAAGGTGATGAAGTAGCTACAACTTGGTTAGTGAAGAAGTAGCCCAAGACTTCTCATTTGCCAAACTCGAAAACTAAGGCTTTTGAGTTTTAAGTGAGATGTCCATGGTAGTGCAAGAAAATAAAAACATGGAGTAAAAATAGTAAGTGAAAGTGTCAGTGTAAGCGTTTATGCCAAGTCTTATTAAGAGTATTGATTTTGGTCAAGTGTTATTTAGAGTCTACTTATTTGGGTTTTAGGAACACGCAAAGTCTGAAAGTTAGTAATGAGTTTTTAGTTTTATAGTATTTATTTTTACCCTTAACTGTTCTATTTGAAACCTTTAAAAGCATATCAGATTGAAATGAATGATAATAAGTGTTGATGAAGGCATGGTGTATTTGTATCTCCTCTACCTTCTTCTCCATCCCTGTCTCCTCTAAAGTACTTTATTTCTTAAAAGTTGTAGACAACACCCACCTGTGTTTTCCTGCATCACAAAGGCTGTTTTTCATAGCCCCTCCTTGTACTAGTGCTGATGCAAGTATGCTTTGCTCTATCATGGAAATACCTAGGAAATAATAGATACTCATATGCACATTTTCTTTTCCTTCCACTAGCATTTCTTCTAGATGATAAGAACTTCGTGCAAAATTTTATGGCCACTTTAAGGGCTTATCTTACTTCACTGGACTTTCCAGGAGTCTTTGATGTTGAACTGCTGAAAAGTTTTCTCTAAAGTTGTAAATTGATTATGGATTGAATGCCACATTAACTCATGATGGTTTAAGGAAAAAAAAATGACACCTTTCGTTTCATTTTTAAGAAACCGTGGTTTAGAAAAAAAAAGAAAATACTAGAACTGCATTATGTGCTAGCACACATAAGGCTATGGCTACAAATTTTCTATCTGAATTAGTAGGAACTTATCTAGTCACAGTGATACGTTTTGAGTCATCACCCTGTCCAAACAAACCGGGAAAAACTCAGGGGAAATGGAAAGGCCTATGCAACTTGTTAGGGAGTATGACCTCAATGTATGATTAGTTGATAGAGTGACAAGAAGAACTTATCAGTTGTCCCTAAAGAAAAAGGGAAAAAAACTAATTTATAATTTGATTGGAGTAGTCTCATTTGTTTATCCATCTAGGCTCCATTTAAGTTCTTGTAAAGTCAAGGGAGATAACTGGAATCATCTTCCTTTTATTTGATTAGGTTTAGTTTATGAGACCATTTTAATTCCCAGTGGCCAATCATGGATTTTGGCCATCACATAGATTGGTCATTTATTCTCATGTTGATCTAAGCCTTTGATGGTTATTCATAAGTTTATTTTTTTAACTAATAATTTTACTTCAGGTTAGATATCCAGATCGGATAACACTTATTAGAGGAAACCACGAGAGTCGTCAAATCACACAGGTTAAGTCTCTTTTACTGGTGCCTATTTTTTATTACTTACCCATTCAGAATATTTACTGAGTTATCCTCTCTAGACAGGTGTATGGATTCTATGATGAGTGTCTACGAAAATATGGATCTGTCAATGTTTGGAGATATTGCACTGATATATTTGATTACCTAAGGTTTGCTCCTTTTCTATCACATAAACTGTCTGTTTAAGGTTAGGCAGCTGAAAATATTATGACACGGAAGCTTGGTTTCATAGTGGGTGATGGTAGGTTTTTGTTTCTGGGAATATTTTAGCAATACCACCTGAACTTTGCCACTTGTGACACTTGACCACCTGAGTTTTTCGTTTGTTGACAATTTACCACCTGCAACTGAATCTCTTTGTGCCAAAATACCACATGCCGTCAAGACTGTTGAGATTTCTGTTAAGAAAGAGTCACTTGCGAGTCACATGACCATTATTTTGTTTCAGTTTTCCACCTGAACTTTTTTTGTGCCAGATTGCCACCCCAAAGTTTTTCATTTTGTGCCGAATTGCCCATAAATTGTAGGTTTAAGCCTTGGGGAAAAAAAAATTCAAAACTCCTTTTAGGGGTTTAAAAAGATTCAGGTGGAAATCTGGCACAAAAAAGAAGTCAATAGGTCAAAAAGTGAAACAAAATTTGGGTATATTATGTTGTTTCTCTTTTACAGCTTTTGAGTTTTGATGGCGGCTTAATGCAGTTTGTCAGCTCTCATTGAGAATAAGATTTTTAGCGTACACGGTGGTCTCTCTCCTGCCATTTCAACTCTGGATCAGGTTTGATAATCCAGTTTGAGTTGCATCGTTACAATGTTGATTTAAATTGTAATCTTCAATCCTTTATATACTAACCAACTCACATGTTCTGTTTGGCAGATACGAACTATTGACCGGAAGCAAGAAGTACCTCATGATGGTGCCATGTGTGACCTACTATGGTCAGATCCTGAAGATATTGTGGATGGTTGGGGTTTGAGTCCTCGTGGTGCTGGTTTCCTCTTTGGTGGCAGCGTTGTTTCTTCATTTAACCATGCAAACAACATTGACTATATATGTCGTGCCCATCAGTTGGTAATGGAAGGGTATAAATGGATGTTTAATAACCAGATAGTTACAGTCTGGTCAGCACCTAATTACTGTTACAGGTAAATTAGCAATCTGCAATTAACCTTTTCCCCCATTTTTCTGGAATTTGAAGGTTTATATTATCAATGATGGGTCTGTTTCAGATGTGGTAATGTAGCTGCAATTCTTGAGCTGGATGAAAATCTTAATAAGCAGTTTCGTGTCTTTGATGCTGCGCCACAGGTTTGTACATAAAATTAAGTCACAATTGATCACCTTTTCTTTTTCTTGAAATTGCTTTGGTCATTTTGAGCAGCAGCACGAAACTTTGTTCGTGTTGTCCACGTTCCATTGTTATGTGGGGTTCCATGCGTCCAATGATGAAATGCACTGGTTCTTTTAGCAAAGGATTCTACTTGATATGATTGTCAATAAAATTTGGAAAGAGTTGGGATGCCGACTATGAATGGTTATATGGAAATAGTAACATCGGATATGCTTAGTAACAACTTTTGCATTTCACCAATGCACAAAAAAATGACACTCAATTCAATGCTTGGACCTTGAGTATATTGTCCTTTTTTTGGGTCCTCTTTTCCTCTTTAACCTTTGCCATTGGTGAATGCCTGCATGTCCTTGTCTCCGTTCCCTTATATTTGGTTCTGAAAGATTGTGATAAAAATGCAGGAATCAAGAGGCACGCCTGCCAAGAAACCTGCACCAGACTACTTTCTATGAGATTGGTAAAGCTTTCCTGTTAGTATCCAAGGGGTTAATTCATGGGCAGCCTATACAGACAGCACAAGGTGGATGCAGGATGGTATTGCCTGGTACACAGAAATTTATGGGTGGTGGGCGTCTTGTGATCGGCTGCTCCAATGACCAGCAAGAGTTGTAGTTTTCTGTTCGTCGCCGGTTTGGATTGTTGGTTTTTCTTTTCTAGTATGCCTGCTGCTTCTACCATCTTTCATTTTTACATGTATGAGTAGTGTGCATTGCCTAGCCTACCATGTGAATTATAGAATCCTTTTCCTTGTGATCGTCAGAGGAGGGAGAGACAAAGGGTCTTGGATATGGAGACAAGGGGGAGGAGTAAAACAATTATTTTTGTCCTTCTGGGCAATAAAAGCTCGTTATGATTATCTTTTTGTTCCTTTAACTTGTGTAATATCTTTTTATTCCTTAAACTTGTGACCGAAACAAATATTTAATGTGGAAGAAGGATTGAAGTGCTTTAAAACAGAAACAATGTGTTCTTTAAGACTGAAGCAACAAACTCAAGTTCTCTTTTCCGGTCTGCAAAATTAGGTCGACCATAGAGTTGCGTCTCAGGCTCGGCCAATATATGTAAATGATAACAAAACGACAATGTTTGGAGTGACAATTATGTGGTCAGACTACAAAACCTTGCAATTGTTCCTGCGTTTGTAGCTGTCTTCTTTCAGAGTGGAAAGTTCATTGAGGTTCCCATGGATCGATCATATACAAGTACCATCTCAGCACCAGAGCTTTCCAATGTAGACCAAAGCTCAAATCCTGGGTGTTGACGGTGATTAGCAATTGGTATTAAATTCTTAACAAAATCTGCAACATCTTGCTGCCTTATGAAATGTATCCCGCACCCTTTTACTTCCAAGTCTGGTCGATTCGTTGTAACTGAAGCTTCAAATTGTCGACTCCCTTCATTCAATTGCCTTGCAAACTGCCCGCCTCGGGGCTCGTAGCAGCAAAGTCCATAGGACGACCCAACCCTGTAGTCTTCAAAGTTTTGAAAGACTATGGGGTGTTCAAGACGACCTTCACGGGTGGAAAAATGGCAAACAGTCTTTTCCAATTCCCAACTTTTCTGAAACTTTTCATTCTCAAGGATTTCGAAAGCAACAAATAGGGCAAACCCTATACACCTATTATTACTACCTTCTGTATCAATAGGTAGTTTGGCTCTTACAGAAGACCCACTCATCCAATGTCCGCACCAGTTCGGAACTCTCGTACTATGAGGAAAATGAGCGCGAATTTCAAATGGCTTTTCATGATAAATTCGGTCCTGCAAAAGAAAAAAATTAAAACCGAAGAGAAACAATAATAAGGATGTTCAATATGTGTGTGTGTGTGTGAGAGAGAGAGAGAGAGAGAGAGAGAGAGAGAATCAACACCTCAATGTATTTAGAAAAGAATAGTTCATCATGAAGTTCGTGAACTGCAAGGTGGTGCCTTGTTCTATCTTCATCCTCGGGGGAATTTCCACAAATCATGAAACTAAAACAGTTAATAGCAGTCCATACTGTCAAATTCTTTGAAATTGGCAGCATAGGACAATGACGTACATCTATGAACTTTATACTCAACGGAAGTTGTTTTGGCAACGACTGAAGGTTGATACACCCAAACAACCTAAGTTCTCTAAGCTTAGAAAACTGAGAGACGCTTTCGGGTAACCTCACAAGAGAGTATGATCCACTCAAATCTAAAAGATGCAATGAGGGAAGCCTTAACATAATCTTTTGACGTGGATTTAATATATTGGAAAAGGAAAAAAACCATATGTATTTTCTTTTCATTGGAAGGATAAACGTGATACCCTCTGCTGGCAACACGTTTGGCCAGCTCATGGTTTCAGAGGATTCCATTTGCACTTCTCTATGCTCAGTGTCAGTGGATACAGAGGATTCCGCCAGCTCATCTTCATGTTCAGTGGAAACCGAGGATTCCGCCAGCTCATCTTCATGTTCAGCGGATACAGAGGATTTAACTGGCACATCTTTGTTTCCGCGGAAACATAATCGTTTAAGGTTCGGAAGTGATAAAACGGACACAGGCACTTTTGTTATAGCAGTTTTACAGGCATCAAGCTCTTGCAACTGTTCCAAGTTCCCCAGGTTTTCCGGCAGTATGTCAATGAGTGAGCAGCCAGACAGATGTATATATCTCAAAGATGTCAAACTACAAATGGCCATCGGAAAACTCGTAAGGTTCTTGCAACCACTTAAATTTAACAAAATAAGGCCCCTCAATTGCTGGATTGATGCCGGCAGCTTCCTTATAGCCGTCCCATCTAAATAAAGTTCTGACAAAGCTTCCATGTTTCCCACAATCTCTGGAAACTCTTTGAATTTTGAACAACCAGAAAGACTAAAGGTTTTAAGAGATTCCAAGCTGACGGAGTAGGGAAGGCTCTCTAGACTTTCACAACCTTTCATACTCAATACAACGAGATGTTGGAGATCCCCAATTGTTGCGTGAACCTCTGATAATTTTTCACAACCTTCAAGAATCAACCTCTCAAGATTTGGGACCTTTCTGAAGTCTGGGGTCTTGATCAAGAATTTGCAGTAGGAAAGATCCATTTGTACTAAGTTTTCCATCGTGGTACACTGTTATGGAATTGGAAAAGAAAAAGAGTTATTAGACAACTTAGTAATTATTGGGAAGATAAGCATTCTAGCTTTAACTTTATCATAACTAATTGTCAGCCTAACTCTGTGCAAGAAATATATATATATATATATATATATATATAAATTGTCATGTATTTTCTACTACCTCACCCTGCTTTCCTCCCTATTTACAATGGCATCCGCACAATAATAAAGTGCGGATATACGGAAGAGAGAATAACTATATATATATACACAAATGATCTTACACTTTCATGCCATAGTTGGGTAATGCGACTGTTAGGCATCTTGAGTTCAACAAGCTGACATGGGTTAAAACTTGATGGCAGAGATTCTAAAGGATATTCATGCCATTCCAGAAGCCGTAACTCTTTAGAGAAATACTCAGGGCATCTAGAAAAGTTCACATTACAAATCTTCAACAATCTTAGGTTGCACATTTTAGCGAATGGGTCAGCATCCAACTGTATCTCTTCCTTTGCCAGCAAGCTCAGGAATATGCCTTCGACAGCAGTTGTTCCCTATACCAAACAATAAACTTCAAGTGTAAGACATAGCATGCTAGACAATAAGATGAACAAATACCTAATAATTAATTCACATCTATTATCTAGAACATAGAGAAAATGTAAAGGAGAACAAGTGAAGAAAGGCAGGAAGGAGGGACGGGGAAGAATGGCTGAGTGATAAATGGTATGAAAACCAAAACACAAAAGCTAAAAACAATTTTAAATAGTTTTTTGTTTTAAGTTTTTTATTTCACACATTCTCTTTTAGTTCTTCCTCATTTATTCCTCCTCCCTCCTCCCCTTTTCCTCCCTCATTCCTTCCATACATTTGCCCTCTATCATTAACCATAAAAGAAAAACTAAAAACGAAAGTATTACCAAATAAACTTTTAATAACTTAACAAGTTTCTTAAAATTTTATGCTTAAATTATTGTCTGAGCCCATACTATGATATTAATCTCATCTTACCTGTCTAAATTCATTTTGCCTCACTTAACCCTCTGAAATTTATCTATTTATCTTACTTCGCCCCTTCCCGTCAACTCTCTTAAAGGGTCCATGAAGTCACAAGTGGGGGCCCACTTGTGACTTGATAAGTTAGCCAGGTTGTCGCCAAGTGTATTAGGGAGACCACATTTGTGTTCTTCAAGGTTTTAATGTTTTTTTATCACTACCTTAAGGGTTTACTTTTGAAGAAAGAAAAAAAATTTATGCTTGTACTAACTAGGATTAACACGTACCGTATTCTCTGCGAGTACTTTGTCATGCCATGACCTGTTGCGTTTGTAGGCATTCTCATTAATCCACAACCTACTGCGCTTTCCGGGCTCATTAGGAAATTTTCTACGAACAATGTCTTGACCCATTTTCCGGAGTAAATCATGCATCCACAGTTCATTTCTTTCGTTAATTTTAATTAGGGCTTTATCAAGAAGGTCACGCATACCACTTTCAGGATAAAACCAGCAACTTGCTAATATCCTCTTTACACGAACTTGATCCTCTCCATTAAAGAAGCATGCAATGTCCAGAAAGATTTGTTTCACTGTGTTCTTTAATGCGTCAAAACTTACTTTAAGCACATTCATAATGTCTTTTTCAGGATCTTCATCAAGTCTATCAAATGCTTCTGACCATTCTGCTACATTTTTACCCTCAAGCATGAACCCAAAACTTCAAGAGCTAAAGGAATGCCACCAGCATATTCTACAAATTTTTTGGACAGCTCTTTATAATCATGTGGAGCATCGTTTTCCTTGAAGGCTTTTCGGCAAAAGAGCTGAAAATCTTCACCAACCTTCAGCTTGTCAACCTCGTATATACTATCTGCAAGTAGTCCGCACGTATCCAACTCGTGCTTCTCCCTAGTTGTTATAATGACTCGACTCCCTGGACCCAACCAAGACTCATCTGCTAAAGCCTTTATTTGATCTAGTTTATCAACATCGTCCAGAACAATAAGCACCTTTTTTTCCTTAGTCTAGTACGTAACAATTGGATCCCCAAATCAGCATTTTGTATATCTTCTTTGCAGCTCAGCATGGTTGCAAACAGAAATTTTTGCATGCCAGCTAGACCATTTACTTTTGTGGATTCCTCTCTAACAGAGGAAACGAAGCATTTAGCATCAAATTGGTCCCTGATCTTCTTAAAAACTTCATTTGCGAGAGTTGTCTTACCAATGCCCCCGAACCCCCAAATCCCTATGGTGCGAACATCATCCGACCTGCAAAGAGCCAAGTACTCCTCCATTTTCTTCATACGAGAATCCATTCCAATTAAATCGTTGTCAGAACTTGAGAGTTTGTCGTTCAATATATTTGAAATCTTGTTAGCTATTTCCTCAATAACTTTTGATTCTTTCCTGCAAAAGAATACAATAACTATTTTGTGTTTAGCTGGCCACAAGTGACATGCAATAAAGAAAATTAGAAATATTAATTCTTGTGTCGGAAATGGTTATGTCAGAGCTTTGCTTTCGTGGTCAGCTTACTGATCAATCTGATGGAGTTCGATTATGTTGCACCTCAAACAGGATTACATAATAAAGAGAACCATAAACATTTTAATGAATAAGCATAATCATCTAATCAAGCAGGGCATATGTTATTAAAACAGTTAAATATAAGACTACCTCGTAATTTCAATTGAAGAAGAAGAGTATTAGAAATACCTATTTTTCAAATCCCATCCGGCAACTTTGGCTACTTTCCTCAGAGCTCTCCTCCACTTTTTCACCTTCCCTTTTCCTTCTTAAAATTTTCTTCATGCTTAGCAAAGGCCTTTCCAAAATTTCCTGTTTGCTTTCTTACCTCAGATGGCTCGATGTGGTAGAAGACCGGAAACACTTCTAGTCTCTTCTCTTTCATGCATTGAACAATATGGGCAAGTTCATCCAAACACCAAGTTGAAGAAGCATAGTCTTCTGAAAGAACGACGACTGCAAACTTGGAGTGTTCAATTGCTTTCAGGAGTTTTGGTTTGATGAGTTTTCCCCTCTCAAGCTTCTCTTCATCCCTGAATGTATCGATTCCTTTCAGATCCAAACCGTGATATAAATGGTCCGTAAAACTATTGCGGGTGTCTTCACCCCTAAAACTAAGGAAGACATCAAAGTCCAATGTTTCAGGGGTTGAAGATGAAGAAGATGAAGGCACTGCTTGGGGAGCTTCCTCATGCTCCAATTCAGGGGTTGAAGAAGAAGGAAACTCATTTCGTCCTAGGAGAAAATTAACAAGGTGAAGAATTAAAGAAGGAAGGAGGAGGAGGAGGATTATGAACATGATGATGGGTAAATTCAACAGAAGGTTTGCATCATGAAAGGAAGAGGAACATATATTGCTTTTATTTGGTCAACGCTCGGCAGTGTCAAATTTCCGCGTTTTGGGAAAGCAGGTGAAAGGAACGTATGGGGAAAAGCGGAAACTTCCTAGGCGGCCTCATAGAAAAAAACGACGACACAATGACTTCTTCTACCTTTCAAACAAGACGCCTTTTTTTCCTTCTTTATTTTCTTCTTTGAGTTGACTGAAGGTAAAAGCCAAAACAAGCTAGGTGGTTGGTTTCAAGTTATAAATCATTTTGCATAACAGAGAGGTCAAATTGGTTGGTTTCAAGTTATAAATCATTTTTCATCTTCATACTTCATTACATAATACGTGATTTATTAGTGTAATAAGTTTGTATAATAAATTAGTATGCTTTGTTGCCCCATAAATTAGTCAGTTCTACATGAAACGCAGGATTTTGAGACGAGAGATTCTAGTGCGCCCCTGCAGCAAATGGAGGGGCAAGCCAAAATATTTTAAGCAATTGTCCAGATTACTCTGAGCACCAAAGTTTAAAAACAAAACCTGTAATCATTACCCAACTCCTTTGGCATCAAATGCAACAGAGTTATGGCTTACTATCCACTTTCTATTCAAACTACATTCAAAGAAGTGAAGCTACACGAGATCAAAACTGAATAGCATTTTACACAACTTTCACAAATCTTGAGTAACAAGTGCGGAACTGTCTTTCAGAATCTTCCGTGCACGCCAATAGACAGCAGAAGCTGTTTCTGATGTTCCCATCTGTAAAATTAGTGGAATATGCTAAACTTATCAGTAGGTTTTTTGAGATTACATGATAAAAATGTGATCAAACAATGAACACCAAGTATTATTAAAAACAGATTCCGAGTACAAAGCCGCACAAAAACAATAGTGGCAGGGCGGTGTTCACAATTCCTGTCTCAGGTCAGGACACTAACAGAAATGGAACTGTTTTTTAAAATGGAAATTGTAGTTTTCTGGATAGTAGATGCCTATATATAAAGCCAGTTAAACTAAAATAATAATATTTAAAAAAGGCCAGTCTGCTCCGCTGATAGGCAGAGACCGCAAAATGGTTGGTCTGCTTCCAAATTTAATCAAACAGTAAAACCCCAACCTTATGCATGCACTGAATGGACTTTATGAATGCATTGTTAAATAGATGTAAAACCATAGGAAAGCTCACCTTGGTCTCCATACAATAGTAATCTCGCCATAAGCGCAGATTTTGGTCGTAATTTTTAAGTGCAGATTCATATAACTTTCGGGCATTAACAAGACTATCTTTATCGCCATTGGATGCAAGGTTTGATTCCAATTCAATGCAGGTCCTATATATAGCAAGCCCAGGGTGCGGTAAAGCAAGAAAGCTGCAATTCAAACAGGACACAAGCTTAAAAACTTCTTGGAGAGAACACTGCAGAAGCTATGATCATCAAATTTATGTACAAAATTATTTTCATTGAAGTCAAAATGTATAGTTAATATGGTTGTGAAAATCTCCTTGGGGGAAAAATCAAGCTCATAATAAAATGACATACCGCTTATACACATCCCTAGCATGTCGAACTCCATCCTTTTGAAGAACAAAATTCACAATAGCGGAAGAAAGAGAGAATCCATTTTCAGGGCCACCATCTTTAGCTAATGATTTAACAGAAATCTCAACTAATTTTTCAAAATAATGCTTTTGATTTGCAAAGATTTTGAGGGCCTGCAATATGAGATAATGTCAACTTTTCTCACAAAGATGCTGCATCAGCTAATGACTCACAGTCAAACACAGAAGAGAGGGAAAAATTCAAATGTGCAGAGAACATACCATTAGCCACAGGCTCTCAGCTTCTGAAGTCGACACTCTTGTCAAAGCATCTTTTAGAAGTTCAAAGATGGATAGCAGCTCGGCTTTACTTGGCGAAGTGGAATCCCTTGTCAAATGCCTAACTTCTACTGAGACCCTTAATAGACATAACTGTGCTGAACTCGAAAATTTTTCACGACAAAGCTTTTCTGCCAGTTTCCGGGCTTCATCCAGTCTACCAAGTTGCAAATAAAATGAGATATGCTGACAGGCAAGATCCTCGTCAATGCATCCCATTGTTTCAGCCTTTTCATAGACTCTCAAAAGATGTGAAATATAACTAGCAGACTGACTGGCTAACCCAGAAGGTTTGTTTTCTCCTTTTAGAAGAGCAGTAACACCCATAAAAAAATTTGCATACTGGTTGAACATTATGGCGGAAGGCAGAAGTTCTACAGCCTCCTCATAAACCTAGTCATAGCATGGCAGTTACAGGAACATAAGACAAACACGATTAGAAAATGCATGTCTTATTCAGATTCATCTAGCATAATAATTTTACTACTATAGGATTTAAGCAGTCCACATGGATTTATACCTGAACTGCTTTTTCCACTTGAGTATGCGTATTTTCTTCACTGATCTCCTGTGTGGTTGCAGGATTGTATTCAAGTCTTGCTAGCCAGTCCCAATACCCTGGCTGTGTTGAGAAGTCTCTCTTGATGTCACTTAGTATTTCCTTATGCATTTCTTCTGAATTAACCAAGTCAGTTGCATCCAAAATCTCCAAAAACTTCTTTCTCATACTAAAACTAGAGGGAAGAGCTTCAACTGCTCCGCTATATATGGTTCTTAGAATGCTAAAACCTTGCTCCTGAAACTTGTCGATTTTCTTCCTTGACTTCTCACTTTCGATGTCTGATCCTTCATTATGTTCTCCTTCTTCATTAAGGGGCATGTATAAATCTTTATTTTCATCTCTCCACTGTTTCTCATCGGCACTTATCTGATCATGGGCCAGAATGCCCACATTCTCTCCAAGAGCAACCTTTCGGGCCTTTAGCTTATTAAGGAATGTGAGTTCCATCCGAAGATACTCTATCCAAAGATCTTCTGAAGTTGGGCAGACTCTCAACCCACTTTGCATGATAGCACGGGCAGCTTCAACATTTAAGTTATGGTCAAATTCCCAAGCTGCAGCATATATCCAAACTCCTGGGACCTTTGGGTGAAACCTGATTACTTGTGCCAGGACCTGCAAAAAGGCACTCCTCCTTCAACAATTGAAAATTTGATAATAGTAAATAAAATGACAGGTCAAACATTCTACTTATATGCAAATTCTCATAGATCGTTGTAATAGGAGAGAGAACAATTGACTAACAACCATTTTCTATATAGCAAATGTAGAAATGCAGTAATCAACTATGTAATAAATTCAACCCACAGATACAAAACAACTCCCAGAAAGTTGGGGCCATTTTAGGGGAATGAGTATTACCTTCTTCATCCTACCATGCCGTCGCTCTCTACAAAACTCAAGGTACCGAAACCAGAGCTCAATGTCACCCTTAAACCTCATGACCGCAAGCCTATATATATCAACGATCCTCCTTACGCCAGCGAAGTCAGAAACTGACTTCTTCATCTTCTTATTGGTCTTCAGCCCCTGTTTTTGCAGCTCACGCATCACCGACTTTTTCCGGAGGCCACGGAGTGAGTCAAGCTGAGTCTCATACTCAATGTAGGCAAGGTAGTCTTCCTTGAGTGGGCTCGGCCGCTTGAGACGGTATTCGAACTTCCGACGCTGCTTGACGATCTCAGCAATCTCACGGCGCGTGAAGATCATGCGTTGCTCGAGGTCATCGAGCTCGTTGATCATCCGCTCCAACCGGTACTGGACCACGTCAGCCATTCTTTGTTAAGGTGTTGCAAGTCAAGGGGATCAATCTGAGAACAAGGCAAATAAATCCAAATTAGACAAGAACAAACAAAATTAGCACTCCAAAAGTAACTACTAAATCAAACATATGAATAAAACCAGGAAAACTATTACAGAACAGGTGCGTACCCAATCACGGTACGGTATCGATCTGGAACGAAAGATTTAACGACTCAGCTCCAGAGACGAGAACAGTACCTGATAGGCGACGTCGCTGCTACCGAACAGTACCTCACCGCCGACAACAGACGAGCAATCTAGGGCACACGAGGGAGAGTGCTATAGCTGATGAGCCACGTTTGAATCTTGGTCTCATGGCGTAAGTGGAAGGAAGATATTGGGTTCGGAGACGATTTTTTTGGAGGACGAATGGATTCGATGAGTACAGCCCAGCCCAGGCAAAAGGCCCCCTGTCTCCGAAAATCAGCTCCAGCGGTGACATCCATCCCGGGCAAGAACTGTGGTCCATCAAGCCCAGGAAAGGCCCAAGGCAACTTAGCCCAAACTGCTGTTTGAGGGCTGACGTCAGTGAAGAATTTTTTTTTAAATTAAAAAAAATTTCTGAAAAATTACCCAAAAATTCAGATTTTTATTTATTAATTTCATACATATAAATAAAATTAAGGAAGTTTCACTAAAACACCCAAAATGGGGGTTGAAATTATAAAAAAACCCAACATCCAAAACACTTTATAAACACACCAAAAACCCATCATTACACACACTCAAAACTCATTTATAAACACACCTAAAAAATTCAGATTTTTATTTATTAATTTCATACATATAAATAAAATTAATCTCATATGAATAGTAATTGCTCTTGGTTGCCATGACAATAGGTGGAAAAGCACAAAACAAATTGTTATGGTAGATACTATTCACATGAACAGTAACTGCCCTTACTTGTCCTTAAACTTTGTCATGACAAATAGGTGAAAGTGCTCTAAGGGGTAAAATACTAGAAGTTGGGTGGGTCGGTGTGTGTCAATATAATAAAAGTCATTCTTCTGGTTTCAAGAATTCAGTACCCTTGTCCTGGACTCTATGCTTCAAGGAAGTTGTGGTTACCTACTCTTGGATCTAATCTAGGGTTGAGAAAACTGGTTTAAATATCAATATGTCATCTTTAATTTTATTTTTATTGCAGAAAAAACTATTTTGGTTATTAAAACTTTTAAAAAAAGAAAAAGAAAAGAAGAGTTTAATATCATAGATGAAAAACATGAACAAAAAACTCATCCGCATCTAAGATTGTCGTCTTCAACGGCAGTCCTCTTTCTCCTTCACGCCTAGTGAATAAAGAAAACATGAACCTTTCATGAAAATACAATATAATTGTAGAAACCCAAGTAGGTTCATGAATTGGAAAGAAAAAAAAACCCAAAAATTTGTTTATAAAAAATTGAAGTTTTCCCAAACTTGATTCATGAAGCATTCAAATCTAACATTTATAACAGAAAATTGATCACAAAGGCAAAGAACAACAAGAAAGTGACTTGATTGTGGATCCTTGAAATTCAATCATGTTAAAGTGTGAAGGGATGGCTTGATGGCTCTGGATTTGGGTCAATAAATTTTCTTTTGTTTATGAAAAAATTGAATATTTGAATCTAATTCAAGAGATAAAATAGATAACCAATAAGAATTAGAGTGAATCTTAAACTTTGAAGGTAGTTGTGAATAACAATGGAGGAAAAACATGTTCTTGGTTTTCTCAGAGAGAGCGTGTGTTGGTTGGAATAATTTTTTCTTTTTTTAAGTCTTCGTTTTATTTAAGTTAAATTAATATTTTGTACAGTAAAAGTGATAAAATAATGACATATTGATATTTAAATCATTTTTTCTTTATCCTTAAATTAGATCCAAGGGTGAGTGATCAAAACTTCATTGGACCTTAGGGTCCAGGAGAACCGGACTGTTAAAGAATTGCTAAGGAAGAAGGAAAGTCACGGTTATTTCAATAAATTGAACAAATAAAATAATAACTTATTAAATAAATAAATAAACCACTTATTCATAAAATAAATAAGTTCATAATTAAAATTTCATTGTGGGCTTGGTTATATCTCTTTTACATTACCTTGATCCTCTTTATTGAAGAAGCAAGCAATATCCAGAAAGATTTCCTTCATCGTGCGTTTTATGTCTCAAATATGAACCCATAACTGCAAAAACTAAAGGAATGTCACCATCAAATTCTAAATTTTTTTGGGATACCTCGTTACGATGTGGAGCATCGTTTTCCTTGAATGCATTTCAACAGAACAGTTGATAATTTTCACCAACCTTCAACTTGTCAACCTTGTATATACTATATGCAAGTAGTCCACACGTCTCTAACTCATGCTTTTCTCTAGATTTTATAATCGCTCGACTCCTTGGACCCAACTAGGGTTGATCTACTAAAGCCTTTATTTGATCTACTTTATCTGCATCGTCCAGAATGATAACTTATTCCTTAAATATTTATTACAAATATCTTCATCGCAATACATTAAGGTTGCAAAGAGAGATTTTTGCAAGCAAACTTTACCATTTGCTTTTGTGGATTCCCTTATAATAGAGAAAATAAAGCAAATCAAATCAAATTGGTCTTGATTAAAACTTCTGCTACTTAATCTATAGTTTGATGGTATCATATGCATGGTTTGGCCCGGTCTCGGTCTTGGGTCCAAGCTCGAGCCCGAGCGTGGCATGAGCACGACCTATTTCATTGTGGACTTTCTAAACTTGATCCTCTCTATTGAGCAAGCATGCAGTGTCTAGAAAAACTTTCTTCATTGTTCCTTTTAACGTGTTAAAACTTATTTAAAGCACATTCATAATGTCTTTTTTAAGGATCTTCATCAAGTCTTTCAACGTATGAATCCAAAATTACAAGAGCTAAATGAACACCGCCATCATATTTTACAAGTTTTTTGGACACCTCTTTATAATCATGTGGAGCATCGTTTTCCTTCAAGGCATTTTAAAAGAAGAGTTGAGAATCTTCACCAACCTTCAACTTGTCAACCTCGTAAATATTATCTGCAAGTAGTCCACCCGTCTCCAACTCATGCTTATCTCTAATTGCTATAATCACTCGACTCTGTGGACCTAACTAGGACTCATCTGCTAAAGTCTTTATTTGATCTACTTTATCCATATCGTCCATAATGATAAGCACATTTTTATTTCTTTGTCCATCACATAATAATTGGATCCTCAAATGTTTATTTGGATACCTTATCGCAGTATAAGAAGGCTGAAAGAGATATTACTGTCCAATTTTTTGACAGGGTAAGCATGTGTTCTTGATATAATGGACAAAATTGAAAGAAATTTGTTGGAATTTGTAATGTGTCCTTGAAAAATCACAGAAACCAAAACTCACTTTTTACCCTTGAAAGAAATTTGATTGAAGTGAAAAAATTGACAAACTACATAAACCAAAACTCACTTTTTACCCTTGAAAAATCACGATCATGTTTTCCAACTAGAGGTGGAGCATATTCTTGCGTTTGCTACTCCGGTTCCCACAGTATGTTAAAAAAGCCCGGCCAAGTGTCAACTACCTCTCAATAATGAAGGAAACTCCAAAACCTCAGCTAACTAACTTTTCCACACAAACTCTTACAATTCCCATCTGTTACTCTCACAGTCTCACTAGTTCATCACGACACCAAATACCGAAGATGGATTAGTTTTCTCAAAAACCCAAGATAAGGATTTCTCATATCCTCTTCTCTTGGTTTTTGAGTTTCCCATGGCCCGTGTTGAAATTTGACTTGTTTTTTCATTTGGGTTATCGGTTTTTTTTGTGAATTTTTTTTGTTTTTCACTCCAACTTTCAAAAGGACCATGCTCTTTGCAATTTTGTAGTTCCATGGTGCATGCTGTATGTAGTAGCCTAATCTAACTGTTTTCTGAGATGGGCTCCTTCACAAAGCTCATGGCATCTGCTATTTTCTTCATAGTTTTATCATTTTTTTCTTTTTCCTACAAGAGCCCAAGAAGAAGGATTCATATATGTTGTCACATCCAGCAAGGGTCTTGAGTTTTCCAAGGACTTGCTAATAGAGCAGGTTGTTTCCTCTATAATCCCCCTTCAACTGCCTCAGATTGAAAAGTCTGTGAAAATCCCACTTGTTGGCCAAGTTCATGTTGTTTTGTCAAATATCACAATCTATAATGTTGATATTGCCTCTTCATATGTGGAGATTGGTGACTCAGGTATTGCTTTAATTGCTTCAGGAGCCAAGGCAAATTTGAGTATGGATTGGTGCTATTCTTATAACACTTGGTTATTTAATATTTCAGATCAAGGGGACGCCTCCATTCAGGTATACAGAGCAACTTAGAAAGACTATTCTTTGTTGTTTATAAACTTTTTGTTCCCTTTATTTTGCTTTGATCTTGCTTTAATGGCATTCGAATTATGAAGTAGATGAAGCTGTTCTTTCCATGTTCTTTTTTCTGGGTTGTCATTGTTTGTGATAAAATGGTATTTCACTTCTGATTAGACTTGACATAGATTTAATGCAACCAATAGGCCTCTGATAAGTTGACAACCCCTTGGCTAGGCATTTTCTGTATTTTCTTTACCTCTTGAGGACAGTGAGAAGTGACCAACTTGGAGTGGCATGAGCTGTCTTGTTTCCAAATATCAAGATCTGTGTCAAATGAATTTAAGTCTATGAGTTAGAATCCTTAGGAAGTCTCATGTTGGTTTCTTTTGATGAGTTCTAATTGATACGTCCCACAATTTCATATCATAAGTCAATTTAACAGATTTGTTAAGTAGAATAGAAAATGAAATTATGATGCAGTTAAACAAAAGTGTAGTTATGGTGAACTTTCTATGGTCAAATGTTGTAATGAGCTGCAGTACTATGTTATGTGCATTCCAAAATCATTAAGTCATGAGAAATTTCCATTGAGCTTGAATTGTTGAAAGGAAAGAGGTAGAGGATGGAATCAATTAAACTAAGATACAATGTTCTTAGCAAACTTAACCTTATTTCCCCCCAATATGTTTTATTTTACCTTGTTATAAAGTGATGTTGCTTTTGAAAAAGGTTGAAGGTATGGAAGTGGGTGTTACCTTAGCTTTGAATGGCCAAGAAGAAACTCTTAAGCTGTTTGTTTTGGAATGCGGACGCTATGTGAAAGATATCTCCATTAAGTTAGATGGTGGAGCATCTTGGCTTTACCAATGGTATGCAATCCTCTTAATTAACTATGCTATGAGAAAGACTTATGCGCCTCTTTGTTTATGTCAAAGGTCGTTCCATACCCCCTCCCCTGTTCCCAATTTTTGTAGTTGGATCTGCATCTATATCAACCAAGGCCACTTAAGGTCCACCCATATGTTTAAAATATTTTTTCTAACCCCAAATATTGCAGTTGATCCTCTGACATTCTCTTTCAGGTTAGTGGATGCTTTTGAAGGTCAAATAGTTTTTGCAGTTGAAGACAATATTTCCAAGAAAATCAGAGAAGGAATAATGAAGCTTGACTCCTTACTGCAATCACTTCCGAAACAAATCGCATTGGATGACATTGTTGCTTTGAATGTTACATTTGTGGGCAATCCTGTATTCAATAATTCTTCCATTGAATTTCATATCAATGGTCTATTCATGGCTCCCAATGATAATTTTGCTTCCAGCCTATACAATAAAGATTCACTAGATCCTATTCCCTTCAATGTTCCAGCTAAGATGGTTGAGATATCATTACATGAAAATGTCTTTAGCTCAATGTCCTTAGTTTTCTTCAATGTAAGTTTATTCTTTTCACCTCTGCTTTTTTTTTCTTTTCCAAATAATACTAAACAATAATCATTTATTTATTCCTTTTTAGAAATTCGCTTCATTCTTCTTCCAATAATGTTATCTATAGTTGTCAAACTTCTGTGTACCGAAATCTTACTTCACTATTTCACAACGAACTGACCTGCACCTGGCTGGATTTGTACCTTTGTAGCTCTATATTTTAGAGTTCAAGTACATAGTTAAATTAAGATATATTTTTCCCCTTGTATTCGTTTAGGCAAATTATATGCAATGGGTGATCAACAAAACACCAGATCAGTCCCTTTTGAACACTGCTGAATGGAAATATATTGTTCCTCAACTGTACAAGCAATATCCCAATGAAGATATGGAGCTTAATATATATGTATCTTCTTCACCAATAATGACAGTTGTTAACAATGACATTAATATCACTGTTTACTCTGACGTGACAATTGGTGTCATGAATGTTGATGAAGTAATACCAGTTGCGTGCATATCATTGGTATGCTTCCTTGGAGTGTTTGTATCCTCCCTTTACTTTCATGCACATTTACATCGCCTTGTTCATTATGATTTTCCATATGTTTTTTGTTGGTGCAGGAGATTCATGCTTCATGTTCTCCAAATATCTTGATAAATAAACTAGCTGGTACTGTTAAATTGAATCATGTTACTGCATATTTGAAGTGGAGCAAAATTGGTAACCTTCACATGCATCTTGTTCAAGTACATTCCTTTGTTTCAAGAAATTATTGAAATTATTGTTTTAAGCTTCGAATGCACTTTACATAGCGTTTTTCTTCTTCTTCTTTTTTCTTTTTCTCTATGACTTCACATAGCATTTTAATATAGTTTTGTTAACAGAGCCAGCCTGTCAATCACAGTTGAATATAAGCATTTCCTATTATATCAAGTAGTGTAGAGACATAGTACAAGCTGCAGGTGAATTTTTGGGCCTCTTGGTCTTAATTACTTGTTAATGAGCCTCAACTGTGAGTGCTCATGAACCCGTATCAACTTGTGGGGAAAAAGAGATTTGATATGTTATGCAGAATGTTTCTGATTTTTTTTTTCGTGACAAATTTTTAAATTGAATTTTACTACATAGTCTACATACTAGAGCCTAGATAACAGTTGCTTTAAAATGCATTTTTAATGTCAAATTTGTCCCGTGTATATTTTATGACAATGTATCTTATGGAAAATTTAATTTATCTTCTCCTATACATTCTCCTCTTATTATAGAGCCATTGCTCCATTTGAAGTCAATACCTGAAAGATTTTTAAACTGCAGGCCGTATTGTCAACAATTCTCAAAACTATTGTGGTGCCATATGTGAATTTACACCTCTGGAAGGGACTACCTTTACCACTTCCTCATGGGTTTACACTACATAATTCTGAAATCATCTCCATCAATTCAAGGCTTACGATATTCAGCGATGTTGCGATTGCAGAACGATCACTGACATCAGTAAGCAAACCTTTAGTTTCAATCAGATAGTATGTAAACTTTGTATACTAGTAGGTGTTTGTTTTGCTTTGTAAATCATTTTAGAATAGTGAACCCAATACAAAGTCAAAAGATTAGTTTAAAACGTTTGTTGTAATTAAGTTTTGTTATGATTCTGTTGCAAAACTATGCTGCATAAGTTGTTCGTTACAAATGTTTTTGACTCTTGACGAGCTAAAGGCTCAAAGCTTAGGCCGAGTTTCTCCTACCGATTTTAACTTATCAGCTACTGGTTTACATGACAGAGCCTTCTCATACCCCATCCTTCCCAATTCCTGTCTCTCCTTCCCTCAGTATTTTCTGCATTTGGATGAACTGGGTATTTTGGTGTCTGGTGCATGCACGTCCTCGGTCTTTGACAAAAGTACAAGATATTGAAGAAACAATTTGTTTTTTGGGAATCTGATGTTTTTATTCGAAACCATAAAGTGGGTCAAGTGTGATTACAACTTTTGTTAGAGTTTCTTATGTACTTAATAAGCTTGAAATAGTTATGTTTGTCCACTTTGTTTAGCAGTTGGCATGATTTTAAGCATCCTACGTACCGATTGCCTAGCGCAAATCATTTTATGTCGTGTTCGAGTCAAACCTTATCAGGTTGGGTTGGTAACAAGGTGACATGATATTAACACATTTAATGAGTTTGACCAGTGTTATTCTTGAAATATGATTTTTTTATTTTTTTGAAATATTTTTTTTTTTTTTTTTTTTGAAGTTTCTTTTTTTAACCTTTTGAACCTTATAACTTACTTGTTTATGTATGTTTTTTTGGTGAAATATGATTGGACGTATGTTATGTAATGTGTTTAGCATAAGTTTTTATGGTAATATTTGTGTATTTAATTATTTCACATTTTGGTGTTTGATTGACAAAAAATAAAGAGAAACACAAATGGGTGAAACATGACACGACACGCAAAATTTGTGAATGAGTTTGAGTTCATATATTTGGGCACGATAAGTCAATGAGTTGAGTTTGAGTTTGAGCATAATCCTACATGACACGAGAAAATGATACAACTTGAATATGTTGAAAAACGACGTTTGCTGCATTATGTGTTCTTCTTCTCCATAAATGTGTTGAATCTTACAACCAAACTTAATTACTTCTCAAAATGTATATATTGACACCTAGAGATGCGGTTAAGCATAAGGATGGTCATGATTGCACAACACACCTGGATCCACAATGATAGGAAACCACTCAGATTTACAAGCCAAGACCACTTATGCTGGTAAAACCCGATGACCAATTCTCATCCAATCTAGCTCCATTATTGTCTCTCATAACCCCACCTCCCTTTCTGCAACCATCAAGCTCCTGAGCCAAATAACTTTTCCTTTTTTGGGTTTTTCTGTTTTGATCCATATACACAAACAATGTTGCAGGCTAAGCTGATACATATATAAGCTTTTCTAATTAGTTTTTGAAGTATAAATAGTAAATAAATATGGCCAGGAAGATGGAACACCATGGCCAGTTGATGGGAAACCCTAATGGCCTTCAATCCGAGATCATAATTAAGATTTTTGCAAGGCTACCGGTTAAGTCCTTATGCCGCTTCAAGTGCGTGTCGAAGCCATGGGGTTCTCTCCTCTCCCACCATAGTTTTGTTAAAGTGCACTTCAACAAAGCCATTGAGAATGAAGATGTATTGCACCAAAGACGAACAGTCATACTTACAGCTTACGAAGACAAATCCCTTTACTCTTTGCACCTCGATGAGTTTCTCAATCGTAATGATGCATATCTAAAGAATGACCATGTTGATAATGTTGGCGGGGATGATCTTGTGGCAGCCACTGAGCTGGCCTTTGTTCATAGCATGCACAGAGAAACTTTGGTTTACTTGATTTGCCACTGCAATGGCCTATTACTATGCCAGTTAGACAGATGGGATTTATATTTGGTTAACCCTGCAACCAAAGAATCCAAGATACTACCAAGGACACCGAAACCCTACCGCTATTCGAGCTTATGCGGGTTTGGATTTGATCACTCCACTGATGAACATAAGGTGGTTTGTGGGCGGATCAATAGAGATCATGGGATTGAGTTTTGTGTCTACACATTAGAAACCAATTATTGGCGAGTGATTCGCCAAGACTTCAATTGTGTCTCATGCAAATCTAGGCTTGGGATCCATGTGAATGGCGATCTCCATTGGCTGATGAATAAAGATGATTATGAGCTTTCCTCCACGATTATGTCCCTCCTTTTGGACAAGGAGGAGGTTAGAGAAATTCCACTGCCGTATGAACATGCCATTGATGAAGTAATTTATAAGATAGAGCTAGGAGTTTTCAGAGAATGGTTATGCGTAATACATTATGGTTGTGATGCTAATGGCCAAAAATACAATGATTTTTGGGTCATGAAGGAGCATGGAGTGAAGGAGTCTTGGACTAAAATGAGGGTCTCCATCTCATTGCACGACGTATCACATTCTGGCTTCTACACCAAATCTCATGACTTGATGGTGTTTGATGACAGGTTGGTTATGTACAGTTTTGATGATGAAAGCTCTCGGGATCTGTCAATTCGCGGAGTTGAAAACACTGGTAGTTGTCTCACGGTTTACTTGGATAGCCTCATTTCACTTAGAAATCGACCTAAGACGAGCTCGAAGAAGACTTCGGTTAGTACATATAGAATGCTTTTCTTGTCCACTGTTAACAAAACCATGGCCTAGGCCGCAAGTTTCATATGCATTATTAATATAATCATCATCTTAATCTTTGTTTAGTCTCATTCATGATATTTTACATAAGTACATACTAGTCCTTACTGTTTTATAATTTTAGCTAATCTATATTGGGTTTTGTCAATTAGGTCAAATGGCAACGGAGAGCCATAAAAATGTGAGCAAGTTGAAACAAATGAGGTTGAGGGAGAGAAATCTTCTTCACGTGGATTTTGTTTTCAATCATTGAATTTCTTTTTTCTTTTGTGTTCAATCATTGTTTGTATATAAAGCCTAGAGTTTATATTGGTTGTTAAAAGGTTTAGTCTCTTTTGTTTAATATTTTATATACACAAATGTAAGTATGAACAACCAATTTTTCTGTTTTTTGTGCAGAGTTATGCTTATATAGGCTCTTTCTTTCTCCAAAATATGGGCTCCAATTGTATACGCTTCTGAGTTTTTTTGGTATAGAAGAAAGCTTTTGAAGTGCCATGTAAATTTTGGGCATTTTATATATATATATATATATATATAAATATAGATAGATGGGTTTTTGATAAATTATCAATGGAAATCTATGTTAATGTGAGTTACCAATGGGGTGTTAGTTGGATTGGCCCAGATTTTTTGTGTGCTCCCAAGAGATCTTGGGTTTAATTCCCCATGGAACCCAAGTGTGTAAGTTCCACCCCTTCTCTTCCTAACTTTGGCATAAATAAATAAAAAAGGTTAACATGAATGAGTTTTGTTTTTTGTTTAAAAACAAATGATGCCATATGCCTTAAGTGGTTGACTATGATTTAGATTTAACAAAATGGGGATAGATACACAACTTCTAAACATAAAGGCTAGGAATTCATAGCAAATGGATATATTCATATTATATACCTAATCTGATTTTATATGTAAAGTTGTGATAATTTTGCTTCAAAATATTTGCTAATGCACTTTGTGGTACTATAGTCATCCCCGAACAATGAAAAGAAATTTATAACAACCGTAGTGTGTGTGATTAAAAGAAAAACCTTTTGCACTTGCAAAAGCGAACCATTTTTCTTGACAAATACAATTGCAAAAGACACCAAAATTTTTTAAGACGAGCTTAGCATGTGTAATTAAAAAAATTCCTATGACACATACCCGTGAGGAGAGACTAGTGTTTTCGTAAGAGGTGCATGAGTACGCGGTGACTTTTTTTTTAACATGCAATTAACATCTCCCGTATTATATCAACCTTAATTTGTGAATTTATTACTAAAATTGTTCAAAGTTGATTAGATTTTTTTTAATCAATAAGGTTGATGATGATGAAATTTCTTTCCAAACGTGAGAACATTTTTTAAATTTAATTTTAGTTTTTCCAATGCCATACATGATTTTTGTTTTACCCTCATCTTATTAGTTTTAGTTATTTTCTTTTAAAATTTTAATGTGAGTAAGGGTATAATTGGAAGTTTATAAAAATTGGTTGACAATCCAGGAAAATAAAAGCATAGATGGTATGTATTTAGCTTTGAATCTTGATTAGATTGGACGGTCCAAAGCCGTTTCTAATTGTAACCGGTTCAAAATAAGCGAACCGGTTTTATATATCCAAACCGGAGAATCCAAGAGGACCAATCCAAAGACGAAAAAGCCCTCGTTCTTATTGTCTCTCTCTAAATTTCGCTCTGCTCTCGACCACCCCCATTGAATTTGAACCCATTCCCCTATTTCCTTCTCTCTCTCTTCTCTCTCTCTCTCTCTGACTCGCTCACAAAATCACAAACTCACTCACCATATTATCAATTTTAATCACTTACACAAAACCCACTCTCCCCTCCCTCAAATTTACCCGCCAAAAAGCTTTATTCTCCCACACAAAGTTTTCATCTTTTCAAATCCCCAAACCCCAACGGCTAAACCTCTCCATCTCTCCCTCTCTCTCTCTAGGGTTTCTCTCTCGCGTCCTCTCTCTGTCTCCTCTACCCCCAAAACGGCGTCGTTCATAGGCTTCGCTCGCTCGCCCCTTCAATCATGGATCCGACCTTGAACGCCGAAGCTACCGAGCCGCCTGCGGTTTCAGTCGCGGAAAAGAGGCCGATTCAGAATGGAGCTGAAGGAGAATTGGGGACCCAATTCAACAAGAAGCCCAGATTGGGACCCAATTCGGAGAAGGACCTCAGGAGAGTGGCGGAGATTGTGTTGGTCTTGTCGACAATGGCCAAGATTCGAGGAGGGAAGAAGCCCACGGAGCCCGAGATTGGACTTATGGGGGAAGCTAGGTCGAAGCTGGTGGAGCTATGTGAAGGCTTGGCGCCTAAGGATATTGTGGCTAGGGATGCAATTGGAGCTGTCATTGAGGATTTGGGGCTTAATGGCAAGCTTAAGGAACAGAGATTAGGGTTTCGGGGTACCAAGTTGACCATCGCTGAGAAGTTTTCGCTGACAAAGAAGAAGGTAAAGAGTCATTTTGTGATTGGATATGGTTCTTGGAGATTCTTGGGTAGGGTTTAGTTTGTTTCCTGGCAGGGTGTTGTTCTGTTAGCTTTTAATTGGTATGCCTTGTTATGTGATTGATGGGAAAGTGTTGGACAAATGAAGAAAGAAAGAAACTTTTGACTTTGAATTTCAAATGTAGGTAATGGGATGATAGTAATATAATTCATATACTTTGGTGTTTTAATGTGGTATGCAAATAAGGGATATTTGTCTGGTTTAGGAGAAATTATGGGAGAAGGTATTTTTGGTTATCATTTCTTAATTGCGCATTACTTTTTGTTTACTTATCAAGACTGGGTATATAGGAATTAGTCTAATTCTTGACTTTTCTGTGGATTTCACATTAAAACACGTAATTCAATACCTGAAAACCATGAATTAGATTGACTAAGGAAGTAGCTATTCCTAACTTCTCCGATTCATGACTTCCCCCGTTCCTAGGATTGGGACTAACAAAGCAACTGTTCAGCTTAGTTGTTTTGAGGATGTTGGGCTTGTTGGTTACTTTATCGAGCGACATATATGCAGTAAACTGCATAGTCATACACTTTGGTAATTGTAAAATCTTTCACTTTTATTCAAATCACTATGAGGATGTACGTGGTTATGCTAGTGTATAAATTAGTGACTCATTGGGAAGTTAAAGTCTTGCGACCAAGAAGTTGTCTTTGAAATTGGATGGCTAATGCTATTTTACTTCAATTCTGAACTATCAAATTAGGATTTTTTGGACTGTAAACTGATGTTTTCTGAACTCGAAATTCTTTTTCTAGATGGAAGAATCCAAGAAATACTCTGCACAACCTGCTACATATCCATCTCCCCCATTAAAAACAAACTTCAATGCAGCAGCTGAAACCCATGGGATGTCACATACTGTTCGTATGATTCCAACTGACAAACCAAGTCATGCACCGATCTCCGGAGGTTTCCCAGCGTCTTCTTCTGTGGTTCATGTATCTACAGTAACTCCTACATCTGCACAGTATCAGTTGCCCACCAATGAAGTTAGAGCATCCATGGTTTCTAGTGGTTTGCCTAGCAGTCATCTAGGAAGGGATTCTTCTTCCCCTGCCTTGCCTAGAGTTGAAAGAGCACAGTTCAGATCAGATGGAGGACCAAATGGGCCTTCTTATGCATTTCAAGTACAAGGTAACTGATGTTCTTTGACTTACTTTTATAGGAAGGTGTCTTTCTTTGGCATATGCTTATTTTATTATTATTGTTCTATCTCTTCTCTGTATATTTAAGTATTTAGACTATACTTTGTGCACGTGCAGCAAATTCTGCTGCAAATCATCCACCAGTGAATGCTCCAACTTGGTCAGTGCAAACTCAATCTGCTAAAAGTGGAACGGAATACAAGGTGCCAAATCATACTTCTGTCAAAGCTGAAGGAAATGCTGGTATGAGTGTGCCACAGATGACTCCTGTAGCAGCACGAGATCAGAATATCAGGCCATTTGTCTCACAAACAGCTTCTGGAAATTTACCTGGTGTACAGCAGCCTTTGCAACAGATGCACTTTGTTCAAGCTCCTTCACTTCCTAATAATCACAATGAGATTGCGAAAATTATTCAGAAATTATTACAACCACAGCCTCCTGAGCATCCTACATGGATTCCTCCATCAAGGGATTACATGAGCAAGGCTTTGACTTGCCAAAGTTGCCAGATTACCATCACTGAGGTAGAAGGTGTTCTTATTTGTGATGCATGCGAGAGAGGATATCACATAATGTGTGCACAGTCAACTAATCAGAGAGGAATTCCTAGAGGTGAGTGGCACTGCATGAGGTGCTTGTCGCTAAGCAATGGAAAGCCTTTGCCTCCTAAATATGGACGTGTGATGAGAAGTAACATACAAGTAAAAATCCCTTCCAACACAGCTGGAATTCAAATGTCCTCGGAGAATAAACTGGGTGCCTTGGATCCCAAGGTCAATCAGCAGAAGATAACTGCAAACGGGAGCTCTGCTTTCCAAAATCCTGCTCATATTGGTAGTGGAGGCAGCAACCATGTTGAGTCAGCATTGGATCCGAAGATTTCAAATGCTAAAGAGTTTGAACAAAATAATTTCCCCTCGAGCAATAAAAATATGGACGAGAGACCTTTTTCTGGAAGTTTCTCATCAAGTGAACGGTTATCTCAACCAAAAGATACTTCTGAATCAAAAGCAGAGCCTCCTGCTGATTCATCTAACAAAGATACTGATAAGTCTGATCATTCCCAACCCTCTTCCAACCCACAAGTTGTGGACGGTGCAGCGCTGCCAAACTGTTCGAAGATTTCAAATGCAAAAGAGTGTCAACAAAATAATTTCCCATCGAGCAATAAAAATATGGATGAGAGACCTTTTTCTGGAAGTTGCTCGTCAAGTGAACGGTTATCTCAACCAAAAGATACTTCTGAATCATCTAGATCTGATGAGAGACCTTCTGAATCAAAAGCAGAGCCTCCAGCTGATTCATCTAACAAAGATACTGATAAGTTTGATAATTCCCAACCCTCTTCCAACCCAAAAGTTGTGGATGGAGCAGCGCTGCCAAACTGTGCGGAAGTTCCATCAAAGAAATGTGATGACCATAATCATGCTTTGAAAGACCCAGATATTTCTCACTCAGGAGGAAATCCTGACTATTCTTTAAGATACGACATCAAACGGGATGACCAAGGAGGTGCACAAGCAAATACTTGTGAAAGTTCTGTAGCTAGTGGTAGGGCTTTAGACCATTCTGGATTGTCTACAGATGGCTTGAAGGCTGTTCAATGGATTGGCGATGCGGTTCAAGTTAACGATGAAAAATTATTTTACTGTACTTGTTGCGTTGATGGGGTAATGTATAAGCTGCAAGATCATGCTCTTTTCCACTCTAGTCTTGGAAAATTGATACCCTCAAAGCTTCAAGTAAGCAAATTATGATGCATTTCTTGATATTTGTGGCATTTGAAGAATTATATAATGTGATTGCTGAAATTAGTCTTGTATTAGAAACTGCCTGTTATTTTTGGTCACTGGGTCTAGAGGAATCACTTATTGTTTGTTGTAGAAGCATATTAATCTGTTTATGGTTATAATGAACTCTTTTTGTCTTTTTTTATTTTATTTATTTTTTTAAGAAGGGTTATAATGAACTTTTGGATTTCATTGCAGTCCATGTGGGAGGATAGAAAAACTGGGTCAAAGTGGGTTATTGTCAACAGGTGCTACTTTCCTGGTGATTTGCCAGAGAATGTTGGTCGCCCATCTACACCTGAAAGCAATGAGGTAAACTTCTTTTTTTGCATACGAATTATTCTGTGTTTCTCTCTTTTGTAAGATAGTCAAATTAACATTTGAATTCAGTGGTTGGCATATCAGTTGACTAGTAAAATTGGCCTCCTGATTTTTTCAAGTGGGTAAAGAAGTGCGCATGTTTGCAAGCACACATGCACGTAGTATATGTCTTTCTAATGGTTGTATACACCATGTGGCGTCATTCAATTTAACACCATGTTTATCTAATGGTTCCTCTCTTCCATTTTGTATTGACATGTAGAGTACAAGATCAATAATATCCATATGGAAGTTCATGTTTACTCATTGTTTCTGTGTTACAGGTCTATGAATCTAATCATGATAGCACGGTAATGGCAGGCTTGATTCAAGGTCCATGTGAAGTTCTTACTCCTACTAAGTTCAGCAAAGAATGTGAAAAACGGAGCAACTTAGGACCTGAGGCAAATAATGAATTACAACCAATATTCCTGTGCAAGTATGACTCCTTAATTCTTACATGTCATACAAACAAATAATTGTTTTGTGCATGTCTTCTAAAGGATGAATGTGAAGATTATTTTGGTGTGTGGATCATATACTTATGCCTTGACTTTTGTGTAATGCCACAGATGCCTAGATTATCTTCTCTCTCTCTCTCTCTCTCTCTCTCTCTTACACACACACATGCAGTCACAATGTATGTGTGCACGTGCACTCACTTGTAGGTCACTGCTTGTACGGTGTGTCCGTTTGTTATCCCAGTATGTGGAACGATGATACTAATTGTTCATTCTGCTAATTGTTTCTTCCCATCATATTCACCTTCCTCTTTGATGAATAAAATTTTGTTTTTCTTTTTTGCAGATGGATTTATGATGAGTTTAAAGGATTATTGCAGCCTGTGTCCCAGTAATCGACTTATGCACGTGTTTTCTTTTGGTGGTTTGAAATTCTCTTTGGTTATGGAACTCGATCATGGTCTCTTTGATCAGGTATCTGAAAACTGTTGTGATGCATTACACCATTGTATATTCCAGCTTTGTTCATTTTGTTGATTATTATCTGGTCATTCAGAGTAGGCGCCTCCTAAACTGGATGTAATATTGAATAAGTTATGTCGTTTAATAAATCCACTTGATAGTATCGATAGTTTTTTTTTCTTTATCCCTGCTGTTATTGTTGGGTTCTTAGCTTTTTGAACTTGTGATGCTTAGGACCTTACATATGTGGCATTTTTTCAGAATATCTGTAACTGGGGAAACTACTCATTCTGTTTTAATTGATTCTATTCTAAATTTGTCATCCTTTGCTTTGATTGAATGATTTTTATTGAGTTATTGTGTCAATACAGGTAGCCTTTTGCAAATGGGGCATCGTTAGCTCATCCGCAGAGAAGGGGGTTTCAACATTCGACGTCTTGTATAATATGTAGCTGTAAGCTGTAGCCTAGGTGTTCTATTGTTTGTATCTTCAAAATAGCAATCCAAGTTATAATCTTGCGAGCCCCTTTTTGGGGTGCTTCAGTCCTGTTATTACATTATCGTATTAGTTAATTTTACCAATTCAAATTGAATTTATTCTCCTCAGTTGTCTAAATATTTAGTTATTTCATCATTATTTGGGTTCTGTAGGCAAATCTCTGTAATGTGTTGTCCTTTTCCTTTTATACATCGATGATCGATTTGTCTACTCTGAAATTGAAGTCTCAGTTGAGGTCGTCCAGGGCATACCAATGCCTCTTTGAGGACTTACAGAGCAGGAGTATTAGCTCATTTTTTGGTTTTTACATATTAGCCAACAAGAGGGATTGTCAGCGGTGGGACTTGAACTTAGGATTGAATAGCAAAGAGAACGATCCTTACCAACTCAACAAACCTTTGTTGGCAGCCAAAGGCCTTTCTTTCGACAAGACATTCATAGTAAAAATGCAGACATGGGTTGAGTCAAGTTGGCTAGAGTGAATGTACTCTCCATTTTGTACTCAAGTTCGAATTCCTCTATTCGTAGTTTAAATTACAATAAAATAGATATAGCTTGTATAAAAAAAAAATCATAGTAGTCATTGGGGTTTATCCCCCCTTTTTCAACCCAAAAAAAAAGAAATCATAGTAAAAATAATTGGATTATGATGAGATGGCACACAACTTTTTATTATTATTATTATTATTATTATTATTTTTATCAAATAGAAACTTCAATAGTACAATCAAAAACATCAACAATACATCTAAAGTGCCAATTCCAAGAGGGCAACAAACTAACATGCTAAAAGCAAAACTAACGTGGACAAAAGCCGCACTAAAACTATTAGCTAACGTCACCACAATTAACTATAAGCCCAAACCAGGCCCACAAACCAAACATAACAAAACCCTAAAATAATTGATGAGCCTAAACGAACTTTAACACCACCACCTGAAGAAGTGCCATTGTGGCCACGCCTACCACTGCATCCGTAACAGATATGGGGAAAATATAATTTCCAACGATCTATTTACGCATAAGAGCGAACAAATAAACAAAAGCAACAACCTTGCCAAAGAACAATTTGGCGATTTGCAGCAACCTTCGTCAAAAACGATATAGAATCAAATTTAGAGAACATGAGCAGCATTAGGGAGCAGGTTTTGCGAGAAGGATTTGATTGAGAACATAGACTAAAAGAACTTCAATTTAAGCATGGCTCAAAAGAAATCACCACTAGGGGCTTTTATTCAAAACGTCAAAGTAGACTTATTCACTAACCTAAAAGGAAAAGACGAGAAGAGAGGAAAGGGAGGAGGGACAGTGATGCTTCTTCATCCGCCCCTCTCTATGGAGTTTTCCTTTAAGACACAAAGGAGAGAGCGGCTAGTGTTTTTGGTAATAAAAGATCTTGATTGTGGTAGCCGTATCTTTGAATATAGGTGGCACACTACTTCATACTTCCTAATCATAAAAACAATAAATAATAACAATAAAAACTAAAAAATTGACCGTTAAATAAAAATGATTTGCTTGATGCTCATGATCCAATCACTTTATATTATATCTTTATTAGAAAAATTGAAAAATCCTAAATTTCATGCAGGCCTTCAATTCCCAATACCGTTGAATCAAAGTTGCTATAAGAGCATTTTCAATAGAAGTAGCAAATTAAACTCTTCAAAAATTAATGTTTGTTGACCTATAAGGCTAGCTATTTGACAAAGAAAAGAAACAGTTGGTATATATATACCTAGAGAACCTATACATTTATTTATTTATTGAGTTAATTTTAGTTTGGTACCTTGAAGTTGTACCCTTAAAGCATGTTTGTCCATGCACTTTCAATTTTAACAATAAAGTACCCTATGTTTGTAACTTTTTTGTAATGTAGTTATGTTGTTAGATTGACTATTAAAGAATCTTTTAAGTGATGATGTGACACATGCGGGACCCTTTTTTTTCTCCTAAGTTCCATAAAATATTAAAAAATTAACTGAAAATTTAGAAATAATATTAAAATAGCAGTAAATATTAAAAGATGAAAAAAAGAGAGAGAATATTTCTCTCATGCTGACTCCACCACCACTCATTACCACCCATAAACTCTGTAGCCACCAAGACATGCTCCACCATAACTCACACAACCTTTCTCTTTCTCTTCCTCCACCCCCCACCTCTAACCCCGACACCCACATAGTCACCCATCTCACCACCACCCACTACCTATGCTTCATAATAGCCTCTGCATCTTTCTCTTTTTCTCTCCCTCCCGATCAAACTCGTCAGCTCTTTCTCACCTAATCAAGCCCACCACCCCATTCTCTTCTCTTTCTCTCCCTTATCAAACCCACCAAATTGTCCTTTTCAATGGTTTCTCTTTTTGTACTACATCCATCTCAAAATGCATGTCATATACATGTACAACATGTCATCACCAGCACACGTTGACAATCACTCGGAGGAAAATATCATGTATAGGGATTTGCAAATTCAATCTTGTAAACCAAGCATTGCAAAAGTCTTGTTCCTTTGGGGTTACATAATTTATAAAAATATTTGGAGAGAAAAGGGAGTTAGGGTTCTTGTGAGATCTAAAGGGGTTTTTGATTGTAACCAAAGGTGTTCATACTAGTGAATTGCTCGGGTAAATCACCAAGAAGATGTAAGCATGAGACCGAACCTCTATAAATCTTTGTGTTCTTATGTGTTTGTTTTACTCTCTTTGTGATGTGTTTGATTTATTCTCAAGTGGTTCATGTATGTGCTATTGCGTAGTCCATTAACATCAAGGTCTTGAAGTGTTTTCACACAACACCCATATACACTATGGTTTGAGTTATCTCGAGTGGTAGTGATCGTTTGAGTAGGGACCATGTATTTATATGCATCAGTCAAGGTTTGCTCAAGAAACCCTCAACCTCTCCTAGTTGCATTAGTATTGGGAGTTTTAATTCAATCGAACATAGGAAACCTTTTGGCTTCAGGAATACAGTTAAACACAACTTCCCTTAGAATCAAAAGTCTAATCCATATCAAGCCCTTAGTCATTACAATAACCTATAGATCTCCTATGATGATTAGAAGACCACACTTATGTGGATTAAGACATATCTATTTCTTACATTTCTGTCATAATTCTAGAAACTTGGGTACGTTTGTTGGGTTTCGTAGTCTATTTAAGTGAGTCATGCCGGTTAGTGACATGTTTTGTCTTTGCTATAATTGGACTAGATTCGAGGCAACTATGGCAGTAGATAGGGGTCTTAGAAAAGTTATTTGTGGGAGTGATTCTCTCTAGATATTTTAAGCTTTTTGGCTGGGTCAGGTCACTTGGGAAGGTTTTGTCCATGTCCGCCTAACTACTATTGGGATGGCTCCATTTACAATATTTTTTTCTTTTTACTCTTTCTTTTTTCATGTTTGATCTAATAAATTTCTATCGCTTTTTATAAATAAATAAATAAAACAAAATTTGTTCTAATGGACCTTCCTTATAATCATCTCTGCTATTTGTTCTAATTGAGCTTCCTAATCATCTCAGCCTGAATTTATTACATTTGGGGAACAAAAAAAATTTGACAACATAGTTAACTTTAAGAAACATAGTTGGCATCTTCTGTTCATCAGTCTGTTATTGTTGGTTGCCATTCTACGTTTTAGGAGGATTATTGGCCAATAATTCTCTCTAAATTATTTTATAGTCAAAATGCAAGACACACATTTTCTTGTAATAATAAAAACGTTTGTATCTCATAATGCTGCTAACCACTTGAAGTATAGAATAGTATAAATAATAGTATTATGCACTGCATATTGTTTCCCTAATCGGAAACTACTGATGGTGTTGGCCCTGTTTCCTGTTTTAGCAATGTCTCTATTTATATATTTTAAAGCTTTTCAAAATCCATATAGAGAAGGTATCATGTGCCTTAATTCATGTCATATAGGTTTTTTTTATTTATATATATATTTTTAATATAAGTGATATTGAGGAAGGGGGTTTTTCTCACATACAATGTAAAGGTGTAATAGGGTTTCAAACCTAAAATCACTAGTCTACTAGTCAAGGCCCTTTACATTGAACTGGACCTCGTTGGCCATGTGATAGGTTTTAGGTGCAAAGTATATCTCATGTAAATAAATAAATATATATAGGATATGAGCAGATTCATGGCACTACTAATTTTACACAAATTTTCAACCATTAAATTAACGTGCAATGAATGAATTCTTGGCTGCAATGAATGGTTGAGATTAAGAAAACTATTTATTTATTTTTTGAAATAATTATAATATTGAATGTATTTTTTAATAACTTTACCATCCTCTTTTTTTCTCTCTTCATTTATGTTTTCACATCTTTCTATAAATAGTTATTTACACACACACACACCTCTTGAGATTTTCGGTGTTTTCACAAAACCCATTGAGGTTTCATAAACTACA